TTCCAATTTTATTTAAAATAATGTCATTTTGTCAGATTGAATGTTCATTAATACACGTATTTTATTTACTAACGTCGTAAACTTAGAATCGTTTTGACAGCTGTATTGACATTCTTTTATATTGATATAACTTTATGTTTTACAGCTATTCATATTTGAGTAGCAATGACCGATTTCAAATATTCCATAATCAGTTCTTAGAATCCTATTGTAATGGGGAAGAAAACAAGTGTGGGGACAAAATCCATCAACGTCAGACAGATGCTAATTGCTAACGAGACATCATAAAAAGGATCGGAATTTAGTTAGAAATTAAATGAGTGAACGAAAATATTTTTATTATAAAAGTAGGTAAAGTTGTTCCATCGAGATAGGATTTTTTGTATCAGATCTATAGATGACAAATAGATGCATATAGTGACAAATTTGCTTTTTTTCATCAGATTTAAGCGGATTCAGTAGAATTTGATAGAATGATTGAACAGAACAGAATGATTTAAAGATTACTAAACAATATTTACAAACGTTTTTGATATTTATAAACAAATACGTAGCTGAATACTAGAAAGAATATCAAAAATTGTTTATATTTTTACGGAGATTAGCGTGAAGCAAGAAGACCTCATTCAATAGTTGACTCTTGAGTAACATTTTGGATGTTGTGCAGAGTAAATCTTTTAGGGAATATTGTTATGGCGTCAAAGCTCAATATAAGCGGTCGAAATGCCTACGAACGAACATGATTGACATAAACATTAGTATTTCTGAAGTATGCGTACCAAGATGGCGGACACCGGAACGTAGTATGTGTACCACGTTGCCAGGTACAAATACTACCCGAGTCACTTGGCTAGTGCCCGAACTTATAATAGAACCAAAATAAGAAAAATTGGAATAGAATTATGCCCCAACTCTAACCTGGTACACATACTACGTTCCGATGTCCGCCACCTTGGTACGTATACTTCAGGAGCACCTAAACATTATTTGCAAACGTACAACAAGTTTGGAAAATTTTTCAAATCTAGCAATAATTAGATGTTTTCAGAATCGACAACATGACGAAAATGTGATTCAAGATGCTCGTGAATTAAAACGAGATAAATTATTTCTATACATGGCAGAATTATTTACCAAACTATAATATCAAAGTTTTTATTTATCGTAATTGGAATTTACTTCACGATTTTCTCAGACTGATTCATACCATTCGCGATATCCTAAGTTTGCTGTGATAAGATGTGTCTTATCAAATCGTCAAAAATATAATAATGTATTTTCAATCCGCTTCACATTCTACATGTGTTTTATAAATATGGATTGCTGAACGTCTCACGTAATGTCTTATGATTTAATTGAATATACTGACTCAAATACTACATTGTTTGGAAACTCCCTAGAAATTGCTAAATATTTTCCTTATCAGCGCAATACTCTGACATCAGTATTTACGTAATGCGGATGTATTAAGTACTTTGGTCTATTTCCATCGAAAGCACGATAAGACAGAATATTTCGCCATTTTGCGGTACGTGAAAATTTATTCATAATATTTTTAAGTGTTGTACACAGAAACAACGTTTTGTGAAATTGCGCCCCATTTGTGGCTCTTTTTAGTCAAGTTTGGCACCGCTCGTCTCTCGACACTGTGAGCTTGTCAGAGAGTTCTATAAATCAAACATGACTGTCTCGGTTATTTCAGAATGGTCTGGTCGTTTTTTTACTGTTAGAATATAGTTAAATCACACATTAATGAACAGTGTATGTGGGAGAAGAATGTCGTTTAATGATTAGATTATCAGATTAGATTCAGTCGGAATTTGAGATTATAAAATTATTGTTTGTTGATAATACATTTTGAACCAATATTTGAAATGTGAAATAACAAATTGTTGAATTGCTTGAATTAAAAAACTTTATATTTTGTCAGCGCTTCCTTGGTGTTATCTTGGGTCACATGGGGAGTATTATACATATATTCCGACAGTTTGAGATGTACTAATAGGAAAGATTTTACCAAATTATTTTTGTACGCTTCGTGATGAAATCGGAGTTGAATATTCGAACATTTATTTATTATTTTCACAAAAAAAAAGCATATTTATCTCGGAATCCTAATCACCAAAGCTACCATTCCGGCTACAGCAAAAATAGCCAGATTTCGAATCGATACGTTGAATTATAAGGCGATAATTCGCCTTTATCGATTCGTGGCGTGGATGCAACATTTCAGAAACAAAAAAAATTTCATATTTTATTTTTATTTATTATTCCTATTAATAAATTATTATTTTTCACAAAATAATTTACATACAACTAATAAATTAAAATTCTCTGTAACTATACCAAAATTTGACGCTTCCCCAAAGCGATATTTTCACACCGGGAGAGCACACGTAACTTGATATCCAGAATACACCTACGGCGGGGTTATTCGTGCTGTTGTCTCAAAACCCCGAAGCCCATGAAAGAAAAATAGAAAAATTTCATAGGCAAAGAATGCTTAAAATAATTACAACAATGCGATCACAACAATTTTCTTACGACCTTGCATTATTATTAATTCCTATATTTTCATGATACTCCATTCGCGACCTAAAAAAAACGCCAAGGAATTTTTAAATTCATATGGACAAGACTAGTTTTGCATTTTCTACCTAGTGGAGTTTATCATTTTTATTTTTTATCGTGAGAAATTATGACTTCTAAAACTATAGCCAATAATCTATATGCAAAACAGTAATAAAACATTGTGCATGGCTGGAATGCTAGAGGAACAAATTCTAAATTTAATTCATAATGCATCGTTGGTAACTTGTAATTTTGCTTTGACCGTAATTTCCATTTTCAGTATTTTGGTGTACAGTAAAAATAGAACACAACGTCGAAGGAAATATTTGCTCAAAACACTGCTCTATATATACAGATTTGGAAGGTACGTTCTCGACTTGTCACTCACAAGCGTAAATGCGACTTAAATTTTTCGCTTTGTTGAACATGGAATTTGAAAAATAAATACCAGAAGCTTCTGGGTTGAACACGATTTGTCGAATTTGCTGAGCGTTGTATTGGATATGCGGTCAAGCGATGAACTGAACTTTAAAAATGAGAATACCCAATCACTATATGAGTAAACTTTGTAAACTATTTCGGATTTATACTGTGAACGTATTGGCTTGAATGTAATTCATATTTCTACGGAAACACTTTTAATTTTTACAAAAACCGACGTGGAAAATTTAAATTCTGAATGGAATGGTTAAACCATTTATTGTCAATTTCCAACAAATTATTCTTGTAAACCTTTGTTTGATCTCCAAGATCCTTCTGTAACTTTCACTGAACCATTTTCATCTTTTGATTGTTGAACATGGTGTTTGAATTTAACCATATCATATCGTTACCATAACCGTATCGTTAGTACATACGCATATTCATACCATGATCTCATTATTTAAATCAACAGTTTCAGTTTCAAACAGTATAGTGAGGGAATACATAGAATTTAATGACAATAAAATACGAGGTAATATATTGAGAATTTATTACATTGGCATGGCATGATTATAAAATTATTTTGTCTGGCCTAAAACAAACGCTAAAAAAATCTTCAGCGCGCTCTTTTCCATTATTGAACGAACATATGTGATTTTGTTTGAAAAACCAGCCATATTATTATTAAGAACAATGTTGATCAAACAAGCTATTTGATATGATATCACTTAAAACTGATTCATTTGTTTTCAAATTTATGACATATTTTGGTATTCTATTCACGTACTGACATTCAATAAAACTCCCAACTCTAATTGTTGAAATCATTTTGTAGATAAACTGCTTTGTAGTTTTTATTTATACCAGGAAGCAATGTTGGATGGAGCTTGCAGTCGATATTGAGATGAATATGAATTTACTAACTATATACGTATGAGCCCTGTATTGTGGAAGCTATCAAATAGCGATAGCGGCCTGATATTTATTCGTATTTATATCTCAATATAAATCCATGATTCAAAAGTGATGCGAAAATTCCGAATAACATTTTCTTATCCAAACTATTATATTCGTTCATTGACTTTATTTCGACATATCCTCTCATCTTAGTAATGTCATACCCCGCTGTATCACAGCAGGGTCCCGCTATTGTGTGATAGTTTGTTCGGCCTGGTTTCGCCACGATAAAACAGCAGAATGCTAATTCAATTCTGTTACCAATACTGTCTGTTCTGTGTCGCAGCAGGAATAGCTGGATAGATTTATTACACCACAAAATTATATTAACAATTGGTACAGTCGGCACTGGTTTGCGAGCAAATTGCAGTGATGTATAAGAATCATGCAATGATAATAAGGTAATTTTTGAAATAGGAAAATAAAATATCCAACAGTGGACAAAGTTAATAATGCCAGGTTTATGTTATTTTGTCGGTAAGTATTCTAACAATTGGTACAGTCGGCACTGGTTTGCGAGCAAATTGCAGTGATGTATAAGAATCATGCCATGATAATAAGGTAATTTTTGAAATAAGTAAATAAAATATCCAACAGGGCACAAAGTTAATAATGCCAGGTTTATATTATTTTGTCGGTAGGTATTCTAAAATATTTCGTTTTTATGTAAAAACGTTTTTTAATAAACGTGCTGATAAACATAAAATTCCATCATTTTATGAGTATCAAAGCTTTTTAAACGATTTGGACCTTCGAGAATTACGAATAAATTTATATAATTATTTTACTAACAAAATCGAATTCAGATACCAGAATTTAAAATCTATAAAATCACCCTTATAAATACTTTAAAATACTAATTGCATTGATTTTAAATTTTTCATATTTTGCACTAAGATAAATTATTTCATAAACACTTAGTTTCCCAACCAAAAATCACAAGTTTGAAAGTACCCCAATTTTTCTAGTTATGCTCGAGTGGAGGCTTTTATATATATTTTCTATGATTCGGATGAGTGGGAAGTTGAGCTATATAGTATTATATTAATAATTTTAATATTTAATTGGTCTTCATTTACTTCGAACTAATGAAGTCACTGAAAAGACAAGTGCGAAGAAAATATTTTTGACGTTCATTTCATTTAATTTGCAATTGGTTTGAAATTGGTCAGTTTAGTTGCGGATCGGTGACTTTTCATTGATGTGTTTTCATCATTTTTTCTACCTCATCAGATGGAACATATTGCGTTCACCTTAAACTATTTTTGCAGACAGAAGACCGCATTATTTCAACAATTTAACCTATTTTATTTTGTATTTTCATATGAAGTTATTAATCCGTAGACGTAGTCAAAAAACAAATAAACGAACGACTCATCGTAGTCTAGATTAGTGTACTTGAGAGCTTCGAAAACCATCGCAAGGGCGCTTGTACGACTCTTAAAAAATCAGGCCAACTACAATAGAATCTTGAGTGTTGATTTTCAAAAACATCAACCACTTTAGCTCTCTGAAAACATTTAAATTGAAAAAAAAAAATACGACAACACTTCACTTCGATGAATTAATATGAAAAATACATTGTCGGCTGACAACACCTAGCAGTTTTGTTCATTTTTGACCAAAAATCAGTATTTCTGCGTCTTCAATTAGCTCACAAAAGTCAAAAGTCAATGATGAATGTGGTCAGTTCCACTTTGATAACTACATTTTTAATAGAATTCACGGCTTCATCTGCTGTGAGATTGGAATTACCAAAAGACAAAACACCTGGGCTATTTGCAGACGAAGGCGAATGTCAGAGAATAGACATCGATCAATGTAAAGGCCTCGGATATAATATGACTCGAATGCCAAATCGGTTTGGTCACGAAAGACAGATGGAAGCCAAAATGCATTTAGAGCAATTTTCTCCGTTGATCCAATACGAATGTTCCAAGAATCTTCTTATTTTTCTATGTTCTGTCCATGTTCCTTTGTGCGACTCAAGAAGCGAATATGCCATTGGTAAGTTAGATTTTTTTTTCTAAAAATATCAAAGTATTATCGTTCAGAAAAAAAGATTATTTTAGTGATAAAAAGCCTATGTGACTTGCCACCTATCGCCACTTTCGGCAATATTAAAATAGTATAGTTAAAAGCAAAAATGCTACCAGTACTTCCTCCGAACATACATGAACAGCACGCCCGCAATTTATCTTTTTTGCCAGTTCCAAATGTCAATTTTAGTGCCAATTTTATTATAATGAAGTAGACTTGGTTCGAGCATTCAATCAGAATTATAAAATATTTTTTACACAGGGCCTTGTGAACTTATGTGTCGTTCCGTGATGGAAGATTGCTCACAGATTATCAATTCGTTTGGGTATGAATGGCCCGCATTTTTCAACTGTTCTGATTTTCCGAAAGAAAACACGCCTGAAATGATGTGCATGCCCGGCGATTTGCCGACTGAGCCTCCCACAGTCATTGCAGAAGATAAAATACATTGCAAGTAAGAAGATTTGATAGTTATAAACGAAAACATAGGAATGGAAACATGAAAATAGATTCTCAGTTTATACATTTCTTTGGTTTAATTTAAGAGTTGATATTTTTGTTCATGTTGTCTTATGTGTACCAAGGTCCAATTTAAATCGTTTCTGTGTGAGAGGCCATAACAATAAATATTCTCCTATGCTGCTCTCAGGGCCGATCAAACATTGGCTTCACCGGGTATTGTTCAAAGTCGATAATTCATAGCGGCCTTTTCAAATTGTTGTTTTGTTTGCATCTTTCATCCTGCCTCCAAGGGAAAGTAGTATAAAATGCATGATTTCTATAGATAATATGCATCATAATTACGAACATGTTGTTATTTTCAGTTACCCAGAGATACGTGTTGATGACCGATGCGCATGGAAGTGTGGTTATAATCAAGGTGTTTTTTCTCCTGATGATAAAGATTTCGCCGATGTATGGATGTCAGTTTGGGCAGGACTTTGTTTCCTCAACACCATCTTTACAGTTCTGACTTTCATGATCGATTCAAGACGATTCAGGTAAATCAAACTATAATATGCTATATTATTGTGCTTGAGGCTTGTACTATATTTTTGTTATTGGGGTATATAACTTATAATTATATTAGCTTTAATTAGAGAGTTGCCCACCTGCACACACATAGGAATTAGAAAGTAATATCATACTGCTTCATGAGACTTCAACTACTGAAAAAATCAAAATCATGTTGCCAGAAAAAATTGCATAACTTAAATGGAGAGATGGAAAAAATTCGGACCTTGAAATTTATTTTAAATGTCTCTCGTTGACCAGTTTAAATGTAGAACGTAATTGAGACCAGTTAAAATCGTTCGCAAATCCTTAGATGTGAATGCATCAATTTATTACCTATTTTTTCCGGAAAATCTAGAATTACAAAGTGTCTTGATCTTATTTTCTTATTTCAATTTTTTTCTTATTGCTTTATTTTTTCATTTTATTTCTTTGTTTCATAACGAAATTGATACAATAAAAGGTGAAATATTTACTTTTTTCCCCTTCATTTACAGATATCCAGAAAGACCAATAATATTTCTCAGTATATGCTACAGTTTCTACAGTATCGCCTATATTATACGACTGGTAGTTGGAAGAGAAATTATTTCATGCGCAAAAAGTCCTGATGGGGATATGTACGTTATACAGGTGAATTTGAACGATAAAGCATTTTCATTGTATTGTAGTATTATATCATAAATACCGAAGCGAAAACTAATTGACATCGTAGTATATAAATTTCGAATTCAATCTATAATTCGCCAACCGTTCACAGATGTATACTACTCCACTGTTGATTTATTAATTCGCCAAAATGAAAATATTCATTGCAATTTTAAAAAATCAGCGGACAGATGACTCCTTCCACATATATTTGTGTGGGGAAAATCGTTTCATTTAACAATATTTACATTTTAAATATTACATTTGAAAAACCATAACTGTTGCTTTTGTTCAATGAATTTCGGATAGGAAAACTCTATTCCGGAAACAAAAGTTACTATAATTTCGATGATAATTTGCATTTGGATATATTAGTGATTTTCGACATTTTTGGTGGAACCAAAAGAAACATTTCATAGACTCCAATAACCCCTGCGCAATACTTTTATGCTTTTTTGTTTTTTTATCTAATTTACGATTTTTAAAAATCCATTCATACTTGCAACAACGTATAAAACATTGTATGAACAAACTATAAATATATATAAAACCAAACCTAATAGTGGCAAAACAAAATGATCTTTAAGGTGTAGCAAGTTTAATCGTAACAAATCTATTTGAATATATTTAAACAGTATAGACCACATGTAGTAATATAGACTCTTGGATCTGATTGTAAACTCGCGGAACCCTTGGACTAAACTGGCGGAACACTAATATGCCGCGGAAACTCGGTTAGAAAACACTGCTCTATACATTTGATACATCAACACTTAACACATACCATTAGATACCATTGTTTTTCGCAGGAGGGTCTCGCCAACACCGGCTGTGCTATCGTGTTTCTGCTACTATATTTCTTTGGAATGGCAAGTTCATTATGGTGGGTGATCCTAACAATGACTTGGTTTCTGGCAGCAGGTAAGCAATATTCAACTATTCATGGCTTGCATCCAATGTTTATTTTTGTTTCTTGTCCGGAATCGAACAGGTAAACAGATAAATAAAAGTACGAACATGAGGCCGAGTATTTTCCACAACCAAATTGGTGAACAAATTAGACCGAGCTTTACTTAAATGGGATTCTATTAATTTCAGATTCGTCAAAATTCAAAATTAATTTCTTTCGATAAAATGTGAGGAGTCAAGTTAGTATTTGAGTAATTGATATTTTTGTAACAAGTGGGTACAGATTCCCATAAAAAGTGAGATTTGCAACAATAGGTGAATATGAGTCAAGTTCAAAAAGTACGTACACCATTTACTAATGATGGATCTATAGTAAAGTATATCGAAAACACGCAGAAAAACTGCCTGCCATATTCTTGTTTAAATGAAACATTAGGATTATGAACGTAAAACTGCATTTACGTCTATTCGTCTTGTAAAGAAATAAAGAGATAAGATAATAGGAGAGGTAAGGGCGAATAATACAAAATGTTTCATCGCGTTTCCGTGCGTTTGGTTGAAACACGGCATTAGTAACTGGTATTAGCTTTTTGTCAACAATTGACATTACTGCAGCCTACAGTATATTAGTTTAACCCAAAAATCTAACCAGGCATGTCTGTGTTTAATTGACCGTATGATCACACACAGACCGATTGCCGCCAATGCATACAAAGATTTTTTCTGTGAATAGGCTGTGAATGTTTCAATTTTACTAACATTTATCGATATTTATGATAATTTAAATTTAATATTGCATTTGAAAAATAAAGAAAAGCACGCTGATCTTGAAGGTATTACAAAACACTTTGTTGACTCAGTGGATGTATAGTTGTTTTTATATAATCAAATTTAAACCATTATCTCCAATAATATTCTAACAAAGTTATGTGTCCGTTACGTCAGTGACTGATGTTGTGCGCACCGTACAAAGCGTTACTATTGGATATATCGCTTGCAATTTATAACTTCCGCCGCCGTCCAAGTCTGTTCATGGAACACTAACTAATCATTCAAATACCCGACCTGGGTTGGCGTTCTCATTGACTTTCTTATCCCCGAAATGAATATGGAAGTACTATATTACTAAGTGCGTGGAGAAGAAGCAGCTCTAAATATTCGTTTATCAACTTCTGTGTGGGAGCAAAGACGCCATTTTAATACTAGTAAGAGCCATATATTTGTATTTATTCAATTTACTATCTTCCAATAGCAATTTTGGTCATGTATAGCATACTAGATGTGTGTATAAAAACATATGTACTTCTGCGGTTCAAGCCTATTCGAAGTTACACATAACACATTCGTAATAAAGGTACGTGCAGACCCCTTTACTTTAAACGCGATAAACTGGTGCTGTGAAATGCCAGTATATTTTGAGAATTTCAGTTAACGCGTACTTTATAACAATCTCTACTAAAAGCTTTCAATGGACTGAAATTGGATATTTATCTCATTCCTTGATGTTGTAAATTGTGATAGATTTGATAGGCTTGTCCCTAAACAGATTCCTGACATTTATCGCCGACGTTTGGAAATCGCGCAGTGAGAGGATTAATAGTCTGACTTAGCATAACAGACGATTTTTCAGATTATAATTTTCAATTCTTTCAGGTAGCGAAACACCGAATTTAAAGATTCACTGTTTGACCTATACTCCAAATTTGTTTTTGTGACCCCAGATTGCCACGCACGATTGGTTACATATGGACTCACGTTGGATTAACTTGATACGGATGGTTGTAGTGGCTTGATTAATTTAGACCGCCAAAGTTGTGATATTGGGTGAAAATTTAGGTACTCCCAAAGTTTGTGAACCAAGATGGCGGACACCGGAACGTAGTATGTGTATCAGGAGTTAGGTCATAATTTCAGATACAAATACTACAGGAGTCACTTGGCTATTACCAGAATTTGTAATAGAACTGAAATAAAGGAAATTGGAATAAAATTATTGCCGAACCCTACCTGGTATACATACTACGTTCCGGTGTTCACCATCTTGGTTCACATACTTCGGGAGTACCAAAATTTGTTTAGGAGCATTTGTTTGTGTTAAATTATGCAGATTAGGTGAAGCTTTCTCAAGAAATACGGGAATTTTGGAAAGTTCATGGACTGATGCTTTTGTTGTTAATATTGGATAGTTCCGCTAAATCCTAGTATTCGGATAAATATTCCATATTCGACAATACCTATTATAGATAGAAGAGTCAAACAGTTGCATTTAGTTTCTAAAAATCTTTGACTTTCCAAACAAAATAAGTCCTCGAAAAATTTTTTTGAGCATTTATGAGGTGTGGGTTCTGTTCGACACTAACTGGTGAGCGGTGACACAACATCATTTTAAAATTAGATTTTTGTTTACTCATCAATTTGCAGCAAAATTGAAAATGTTAGAAAGAAAAATGAAGTAAAGTTACTTTAGTTTCGTTTTATTTAAATGGTTCGAGCAATGCCAATGATTTTTTAAGCGATCCATCGTTTGTCGTTATTCCCCCATCCCTCATGATAACAATATTTACTATCCAATATAAGAGGCGCCATGTGAGACAATGTATAGACATTATAAATCAATCTGATAATTTTATTGTGAACAATCTTCACTCAGGTACTATTGTTGTGGTCGCATATCACCACAACCCTAAGTACATGCTCAATAATCGATATTATTAATTTCTTCATCACGTGATTGGTGTTTACTGTGAATGGAATCGATTTAAAAGCACTGACAGTCCTGTGGTAGAAAAACGTTATCTGTGTCATTGAATTTGATCGAAAGAGCCTTTTATTGCATCTTTGTTTTGTATTATACGACTACGACCGTATGCATACCCCTTCCCCGCTAGAAAAATACAAGATTCATTTTTTTTATATACGTAACGCGTAAAATGGAGATTCATTTTGTTGTGTTATGTTTTGTTATGTATCGCTAACGAATATGGAAACTTGGTAATAACATATATAGCTGATGTAACGTTACTAAACCTATTTCATATGAATAGCCTGATGTAGTCATCCAGACAGCCAACCTTTGATTTCTTTAGTTCCCGAGCACTCAGTGATAAGAGTCATGTAACATAGAAGTTATGAAAATTCACTTGCTCGATGAAAGAGTGAGTGTTGTATTGTAGAATTGATTTCAATGGGAAAGCGATGAGACCTTTACTAGAGGTAAAATCAGGCCCGAAAATTTCAGCCCGGCCCGACCCAGGCCTGTGGGTATTAAACCCGACCCGACACGAGCCAGGACTTATTAACTGGATTTGCATTCCCGAGTCAGAAGCAAACCCTAAATTTTATTTAGGATTTCTTTGAATTGTCATTCCAAGGGTTTAGTACAGTATGTGTAGTGTTGATGAGGCAAATTCTGTTTTTGCAGACCACCGTCTCTCGTGGCCAAAACAAGACCGAAACGTCTCATTTAGAAAAAAAAAAGTCAGCGATAGAGAAGCCCGACCCGAACGTAATAATTAACATTTCGGTCCCGACCCGCTCGAATTTCGAGCCGGGTCGGGCTCGGGCTCAGCTCTAACCTTTACTTATTGAAAAAATGCTCTTTTCCTTAAATTAATTCATATTTACGCACGGGAAAACCGCGAAATTGTGAAGCATTTTGACTGATACTGACAAGTTTCCAATTAACCTTTCCTCGGAGATTTCCGGTGTTGCAAAACGTATGAATTTATGTTTTATTTTGATCTTTAAAAGTTTAGCGTTTATTTTGTAATTATTGCACAAAAATATAGTAAATGATGGATACTATCTTCGACAAATTATCAGATATTATCGTTTCAAAAACCAAACTATTGGTTGAATAACTTGCACAGTTTCTGTAAATTAAGTTGAGATTAAACTGTAATTTCCTACTTTTAGCAATACCTTGTTATCATGCTTTGCATACTTTTATAAAAATACAATTGTATTGAAATTACCTCTCTTGAAACAAGATATTAATGTAGATACAAGATATTAGAAAATTGATTGATGTTTAGGGCCATATAGATACTTTGCAAATTTTTATTCTTCGTCAAATTAACAAACTGCTTGTATAGACAAGTTACAAATATGAGGTATCAGCTGAAAATTGTGCGCTTTTCTCCTGACTTTCTCGCTATTAATTATAGAATTAAAACCTATGTTATTTACGACCCCAAGTCAATCTCAATACACGCTTCAAGGATTTCCACTTTGCAGTCAAAACTTACAGAATTATTAATACCACTCAATTTAAAACTGCTCTTGAGCGTCCGCGCTTGTTCATTCCTTACACACAATGTTTTATGATACATGAGTATGAGTTTGATGCGATTCACCAAGGACGGGCCAATCTTATGATCTGGATACTCTTCGACCGTCAAAGACGACAGTGGGTTGTCATACACTTCGCGAAGTGAGATTAATCATGTACTAATGGATGTAATGGACCTGTGATGACATTATTAGTCTGGATTTGTTCAGCGGCGACGATGAAAGCTGCTAAGTCTACAGGTTCTGCCAATTAAATTAGGTCAAATCAAGAACAAGGTAGTTTTTACTGATAAACTAATAGTTAAAATAATTACGCCAAGATGGACCAGCCAGGCCAAAAAAACGGGGGTGATGTGATACGCTAAACTTTTAAATTCACTATATCTTAACGGCACAGAATACAAACGGGCGACTTTACTCAATGAATATTTATTTATTGGTATCCATTAACATATTAACAACGCAGAATTAGAGGTGGGCTCACTTTGAACAAACATATCAGGTCCAGTCCAAAAGTGCAAGCGATCGGAAAATTTCAAATCTGGCATGGGATGTGATATATACACGAAAAACTCGTTATAAAATGATTTTGTCTAATATTTCAAAGTCTATTCTGAATTTTGCCAACCTAGACTTCAAAATCCAAGCCCAATTTAGAACTGTGAAACTGTGTATTTTATATATATATATATAATAATAATACATACACGTTCTTTTCAGGAATGAAATGGTCTCATGAAGCAATAGAGATGCATAGTTCTTACTACCACTTGGTGGCGTGGTCCATACCAGCAGTTAAAACGATCATAATCCTGGTAATGCGACAGGTATGTTTTTATATTTCATCCTTGTAGCGTCAAGAATAATAATCGCATATAAACAAACATTTTTGGCGTACCGATTGCGTTCATCGCACATTATTCCCTATATGGAAAACCTCGATTTTTCGATTTTTGCTTATCTGTCTACGAAAGGTTTTGCGGATATTAATAGAGTTCTCTGGCATAAAGAATCACAATAACCAAATTGTTATTATGTGGGTTGACATCTTACAACGGGCAACAAAATTGATGCTGTGTCTAACTTAAACTTTCACCAATTTATCCAATATATTCCAAAATGCCCAAAACATGAAATATTAAATCAAAATAGTTACCAAAAGATTGATTTGTGTAGAAATGTCTTCCTTGGCGATAAGCTATATACAAAACTTCTATAATTTTCAGACTCAAATATTTCAAAAATAATATCTAATAATAATTTAAATATATAAATATCTTGTATAAATAATAAATAGATATATAAGAATCAGAGTGTTGCCAACAGTTTGAAAATATTGCGTCAGCGATATAATTACGTCAAATCAAAGTAAAATTTACATTCCAGGTTGACGGAGATGAACTCACGGGACTCTGCTACGTTGGGAACCAGAATACAGATGCATTGACGGGTTTTGTGCTTGCTCCCTTGTTCACGTATCTGGTTATTGGCACTTCGTTTCTTCTGGCAGGATTCGTCAGTCTTTTCCGAATAAAGTAAGTATAGATAAAAAAAAATTTGGTTTCTACACTTTGACCTATATAAGATCCTCACATTTATACGACTTAAAATTATTTAAAGGCGACTCACGGCTCTTGAGTCTTTATATTTATAGACCGACCGTAGATCATGATTGTCAATATCATCAGCGAATAGAGTCAGCAGTAATGTGGATTGATTTGCAGTCAGAAAACATGAGAAATGAGTTGTTGAGCTTAAAGTTCGGGGTAGAATATACAGTGTTTGTAACAACGTTCACATAGGCAGCTAAATACTCGATCTATTATTCTTGAGAAATTTTTTAATCTGAGTTGACATAAAACTATCTTTCTTATACTGAAATTAAACTAAGCTTAGCTATATATAGATGCTGTCACGCTACAATCAAACAGTAATGTTTGACGTCAATATTTTTTTTATAAAATTTTGGATTTTGCTGATTGTCATGTAGCATGCAGAAAGGGCTCCGTAATGTCTAGCCAAATGAACGTCACGAACGACATCTCAATCGTCAGAGACGTGTTGTGGCCGAAATTCAAGGTCAATAACTAAAAATTTGGGTTTAACGCTGAATACCATTATAATGTGTCGCCAAAAGTATAGAGTTTAATGGATTGGGCAAGGTTGAATCCGGAACATGGTCTCGCTTACGTACTTGTAGGGATATTTGCTAGTAACGTAAGCTATGAATTAAGTGCCTTCGTATTTTACTAGACACTTGAATGTGATTGCGTTCAACCTGCACAAAAAGTTTTGTTTGTAAATATGAATCAACAAAATAATGACAGTATGAATAATAGCCGTTAGTCATGTTTTGAATGTTGAATATTAATAATATTATTTCAATAATATATTATTCAAACTCTAGTTTATTTTCCTAAATTTTTACTTATACCTCGTTGATACAGCCTCAAATGAAAAGTGCTCTCTCCTTTAAATGTGAAGTTGCAAACAACTAATGTCGTGCTGCTAAGAAACCGAAAAATGAAAATAAAATAAAAAAGGACGATGACAATCAACATTTTTAATAGGTTCGAATTAATACTGTCTAAAAAAGCCAGTGCCCTCAAACGAATTAAAACTGCTGCCTGAGCCTGAACGATCGTATCATTAATAGCTCTTGGCTCTGACAACACTATATGCAGTGCGATAGGAACCCGCTCTTCTACCCCGATTTTACATTTGTGTGAACTGGATTTCTGTGTAACTGACATGGTTTGCCTTGTTTTTACAGCAAATTGAAGTACTAATATGCAGAGATAATATCAAACCAAATCTATCATTTCAAATGGTATTTGAATGTAATAACAATTTATTTGTAGAATCTCTAAAAAAGGACTCATTCAGTTTCATAGCGTGCCTAACTATATCTGAGAATTTTACCATTTCACGCACCAAATAGTGGACCCGGGCAAAAAATAAATAAATTCCGTGATTCAAGAGGAAATGACCAATTGACCATTCATAAGTACTTGTTGCTGTGCGCCAATACGATCCTTTGAATCACCGACCATACTGACGAAAACGTATAATAGTGAACGCATAAATGAAAATTGGTAAATGGCTGCTTTCCAAAACTCAGGATATTGAGGGATTGGATATTATAAAAACGTTTATGGGTTCTATACAATATATGAGGAGACTCTAATCCCACAACAAATTCACGATAATTAAGCAGTAAGCATTTAATTGACCCATTTTCTACGTATTTTAAGATATTTTTGAGTTACTTGAGGTTATAAAACAGGTGTTTGAACAAAGGTCGAAAGATTATGGTATGGTGTCATAGTTTTGATCATCGTAGACAATTTTTTTGCTCGCTTATCAGTACTACTTCGCACAGAAAATAAAAATAATACACTGAAAACCCGCTCAAACACGCACAACTTATGTAAAAAGTTGTAAAAGTGTAAAAAGTTACTCTAGTATTGTATAATAATACCATTTCGATATTTATGTGTTGATGGCATTTAGTAAAAAATGAATATAAAATCTTTTGTCTCAAACAACTGATTCGCAGCAAACAGCATATTATGAAAACTAGTCAGTTTATTGAAATTCAACCTAGGAATTTGGAACCTCAGAACAAATAATTTTTTTCCTATTTATGTTAATTTATGAGTAAAATTACCTTTCATAGCAAATACATTTCTACATTACGTCCCACGTTTTAAAGTTTATCGTAGGGCACGGAAGGTTAGTTTCTATGCTTTATGGTAGAAGCCTGTTTAGTAAACATTGTATATCATGGTTTTCTTCCCCCACGGAAGCAGATGGTGTAATTCATCTTTTCCGGGCTATTTCATTTGAAATAAATTTGGGCGCAAATTTTTGTCAGCAAACATTTTCGTCAAAAAGTAGATGAAATAGTACGGGTTCATTTGTCTTGAATAATAGCGATAAGCAAAACTTTGGGAAATGTTTTGAAATGTTTTAAAATTTAATGTGTAATTTTTAAAAAAACTAGTTTTCTGTTTTTACCTGTTTGTTTGAATCAATAGATACTGCTATGGTTTATGGTGTGATTTACAACAAATTTTATCAGTTAAAATCAGTTAATATAGATAAAATGGATATTTTAAACGAACATTATCACGTAATATTGCGACTAATACCGACACGGATGAAGTAGGGTTGAAGTAGGTGGGAGAATGATTGATTTTGAATTTCAATGTTAAAAAAACATGGCAAATTCACCCAAATTCATGAGTCAATCACACTAATTATCGTTGAATTTCTAAACTACCATTTCTCAATTCTAAGCTCATAATCGCGAAAGTAGTCGTGCAATACAATTCAATCATTGGCGTATACACGTAAAGACAAGGTGGTCATTAAATGCTAAAAAAAAATAAAACCAAGTTCTTATTTCATAAAATTGACAACAAAATGATTAGCTCTCAAATACTAAAGGTTGTGGTTGAAAGTTGGTATGTCCAGTAACATATATAAAAGCCTATAGGCCTGTTACAGATTCCACAATGCTGCGATTTCAGTTTACATCTCTATTGAACTCGTCAATTTTTGTTTTAAGTATTTTATCTCATCCGTAATAGTTGTGGTTCAGTGAATGCCTCTAAACATATCGTCTTATATTCACTGTCTCAGTCGTACCGCATGTCATCAATACAAATAAGTAAATGACTGCATCATTTTTTTTTTGAGAAAATAGGAGTTTTGATACTTTGCATGGATTATATAAATATATATGAAAGTAAAATGTATATTTATAAAAAAAAATAGTTGAAACTAGTACAGAACAAAATCAAATTAGTTGCAATTTAAATCAATCGTATTATTTAATTGAGTCAAATCTAAAAAATCAACATCGCAATAGTGACATTGAATAACATTCAGACAGATATTTAACAAACTTATATTGATATTGATATTTCACCAAACGCGATTGTTGATGGAAAGAGCGGCAGGTAGTTTGTCAAACAGGTCATAGCTGTTCCACGACTTTGAATCATTTCAAGACTCGAATCGGAGTACTAAGCTAAACTCTAGCTGTATGGTACCAAGAAACTGAAATTAGATATCGCATGACATGAGCTTTGAGGAAACAATACAAAGCAATTTGATGATTTTGTGCAACAGACTTATAACACAGATTTTTGTCTTCGGTATTATAGAATATGCTATGTATGCTATGTTTACGGTTATTATACATTATTGAACGTGGTGATATTTGAACTTGTCGCTTATGGTCGCTCAGCTGGAGAAACTTCAAGCCGTGTTTTGGGCTTTCGGGCACGTTTTTAACAGTAAATTATACACCGAGTATCCCGCTGATAGGATTTGTATTTCTCACGATTTATGGCATGAAATTGTCATAATTATTCCTTTCCGTATCAGTAGGAGACCATATTCGAAAAAAGTAGCGTTGTGCGCGAGAATTGTTGACTTCTGGAGCTTTGCTTAATCTGACGTCTTCGTATGAAATTATGCTCATCACATTGTAATTCAATATATACAATATTGGGTTTATTTCAGCTAATATTTGTTAGTTTTACGCCATATAAATGGCATATGAAATACCCAAGCGAGAAAGGAAAGGTTTGGTCTGGTTTATCGAATTTCTATCGCACCAAAGGGTTTTATTGAGCTCAGCAATTGCGACAACCTTTCAGTTATTTTTATACTTCCGTGCTATCAGCGGGATGAATAAAAATCTGTTTGGAAAGAGGGATTAGAGAGTCAAAAATAAATGTTGTTAGAATAATATAAAAGACGCGAATTATTGTGTATGGATTGTACGGAAGCTATCACTTTTATTTTCGAGAAGTATGCTTCATTCATTCCACGGCATAAGAATAAGACGACAATATTTGCGGTCGCCACGATTTCGGGATCCATGTGAGCAACACAAGAAGCACGCTCGTGGTGTAACAAATTATAAAGAAGTTTATACCCAATTTGTACGAGTGCCGAAGCTTTTACATCTGATTGAAAGCTTGATGAAAAACCCGTAATCAATTCCTGTTAGTTACCTATTGCCAACAAAACTTTGGGAAATCGAATAATCGGGAGCTCCCAGAATTTGATTTGCTATACAAGCTAATTGCTTTCTTAACTGCGTTTTACGTCAATCAATCTCTTATTGGGGCATTAGTAACTAAACTGCCATTCAATAGGTAAATAAGTTCAACATGTGATAGATATAAATAAATACTGCTGAGCAGCTAAGAATGAAATTTACGATCGGTGGCCGTTCGAGTGTTATACAAAAATAAAAACAAATATGTCATGAAGGCTTTATTAACTATAACCTCATTTCAATAGGTAAAAATGGAATTTACGATTATTATACATGTAAAAAAGCAATATGTTTTCATGTCGTTATTCTTTCTTTATTAAATTTACCACAAAATTCAATTAATGAGAATATTAAATATTTTTTAGGAAATTCATGAAACAAGAAGGAAGTAAAACGGATAAACTGGAACAGTTAATGGTGAAAATCGGTCTGTTCTCTGTATTATACACGGTACCAGCTTCAGTAGTCATTGGATGTTATTTCTACGAACATTCACAGGGAAGGTAAACTTCGTTTAGTTTTATCTTTAGAAGACCATAGTATTATCAAAGTATAAATTTGTAAAATTCTATCAAATAACAAAGAAGGTGATGCCATGATGTAAATTTAGTTGGAGCGTAAAAGAACATTGCTGTTAAGTTCGCTTGATTCAACCTTTGGGTTTATTATTTTATCAGTAAGCAACAACAGACATATTTTTCGTTAACAGCTCTGGTGCAATAGTGATCCATCCTAATCCAGCCGTTTACATGTTGAAGATACTCATGCAATTGATCATTGGAGTTTTCACAGGTTAGTCAATGAAACTGGAATCTTGATATTATTCGAATATCACACTGATAAAATCCAAATTCCCTCTTTGAATTGCATTCTGTCGATGCGTGATAGCATTGGTGCTTGATTTATGAAATGTTGCCAACGAGATGGAATCAACAACTTTAAACATTTTAGTTTCAAAACTACCAATCATTGTTATAACACCTCTAAGTTACGCTTGTTAGTAACTATCATTTATTAGCGAGCAGCTGCGATTATGTTTCGTCTCAGTTTTCTAAAATTGTCAATACACCTACCTCAAACATGAAATTAAAGTACATTACACATCAACACTTTGGTAAATATTCCCTCTCAGACTTCGACCCGAGCAATGACCCAGAAGTTAACGTTGGATGGGACCCCACACGAGTCAAAATAAAGTTCGCCAAAAGCGTGTTATTTACACAGCAAAACCAATATAGTCATAGAAACTATTCAGACATCCGATGATTGTTGTTAGACGCGATAGTTATTCTGTCTACAGAATTTTGACCTCATTGGTTTTCATGAAATAGTTTACACTGTTTATAGCCGGTCACAGCGTGTATAATAGACTTTGTCACAATTTGTCTAACATTTCAGGTTAGAAAAACGCCTTATTGCTGACACTTTAACTAACGTCGTATGTTTTTACAACATGTATTAGCTGAATATTTTGCTTGTTTTGTATTACGACGCTTGAATATTTAGAATCGTAAAAGAGATGTATAAATTAAATAATAACTGAAAATAATAATTGAAAAACAGTATTTGTTCATTTGCAAAATATGTATACTAAAATCACAGAAGTCAACTTATTCCAATGAACTTTTCATTTCTTTCAGCAGCTTTTAAGTGCACCTTTAATGACTTTATTAATATTCATTTTCCTTCTCAAAACCTATTTTATTTTTAGGTTGCTGGGTGTGGTCTCGTAAGACTGTTGTTTCTTGGCAGAATTGTACTCGATCAATTCTACAATGCGCCAAACCTCATTCAAGTACGGCATACAAAAATGGCTCAGTATCTTCAAAACATTCCGGGGCAAACCCCACACAGCATAAAAAGCTTTTAACTTCGTCCAGCAGCGGCCCAGGATCGTTAACCTCAAGCGCGGGTGACTCGCCTCACCGTAAAAACAACATTACAAGTAACTATAACACGCATGATAGTTTTAATAATCGAGGAAGAAATGTTGTGCTCCAAAACCGTACACAATCGTCTCACAAACATCATAAACATGGCAATGAAATAAGTTCGTTTCCAGCTGGCTCTGGAAATGGAGGAGAAACAACTGTATGACCGCATCAAACTAATGTGAAAATGTCATTGGACATTTGACGCCAAGTTTAAGGGTGTGTGTTGAACCATGGCTTTTGTTAAGAAACAGACTGAAAAATTGGGGTTAACGTGGGTGAAAAACATGCGATTCGATGTATCAATAGCGCCAACTTGCGCTGAAATAGCTCACAAATTATTGTTGATCTTCCACAAAATTCTCAAAAAATTATTATATATCGTAAATACAATCTAAATTTTTAATATCGAATCGGATTTTAGTCAAACAGCTTGGCATGATAAAATATAGGAATGAGTTGATTTCTGACTCAAATACGAACTCAAAATCGACTCTTTTGTAGGAACAGTATTTTTATTTCATTTTTTTGATTCCTGGTAATATTTGTTCTCTTACATTTCTTGCCTTTCTATGTAAAAATTCTCTTTTTGTTATTAAACTTCACTTCTTCATCTTTTTACATTAACTATGAAATTAATTCTTCAATCTCGTTTTAGAGTATGGTATAAATTTATTGTTGAATAACAATTTCTGGATTTTATTTGCACGTTTATTTCATTCTAGTAAACGCAATAGATTATGAAATTTCCGAATTAAGTGTAGTTGGTAGTACTGTACAATCATTGTCGTAAATAAGGTATGCCAAATAATAGTTTATTTGAATTTTCTTAACAGATTAGCAAAATGGGGAAAATGAAATGAGTAATTGTACTGTTTGGTTTCTAAATTTCTGTTAGTTTTTCAATGACGAGCTTCTCTTCTCTAATATAGATCACAGTAGCCTAAATGGTCTCAATTTATGTGTAAGAAATATTTGTTTACTGAAAATTCATTTGTCACATTTTTATTCAATAGTTTGCTTACTGATTATTTTTCCAGTGTCAATTTTTTGGTACATTCGTTCATCGACTCATACAATTAAACTCAACAAGAATTCAAATTGCATCACTTTTATTCGTAGACATTGTTTTATCTCAGATTAGGTAAAAAAAATTGTAGTCTAATGTATTTGGCTGTTATTATGAGCTTATTTCAAATCAATGTCTTCTAGAAATGTTCAATTTATTTTGGCCATAGTCCGAATTTTTCAGTGAGTTTTCTATACTTCAAATTTTTTGGAAATTCTTTAAAACTACGGAATAGAGTACGTGATGTTATATATATTGTAATATGAGACAGTGGCTCCCAACCTTTCTACCCTGGCGGACCGGTAGAATTAAATTAAATGTACTCGCGGAACGGCAAAAAATTGAAATTACCGAAACAGAAAAAAATAACATATATTTGCGTGATACAATACAATGTCGCGCACTCAATATGCATCTAGACAAAAAAATCACTTAAAAAGAGCTCACACGAAGAAAAACATATTTGCGTAATGAAATGCAGTGCTGGGCACCCATTATGCGTAAGAAAGGCACACATAAAACATCTCACATAAACAACATGTACATGCCAAATCATGTACAAACGCAATTAACTCTAGTGAGAATTTTGCTGCTGTTTAGTTTCCAATATAGGATTGCAAACGATGCCTCAAGGAAGTTTCTGCAACACGTAGCTCTGCAGCGGCGTGCAGCCTTTCCTTGCTTCGCTTTAATTAAAGCTAGTGATGGTTTATCACATTAATCCCTCTGCAGTTGATCGAATCTTCAAACGAAATGAATTTACATTACAATGACAAAGTCGTCGCTAACTTGGCACCAGGCTCAAAATCCTACTTTGTCTGCTCAAGATACTAAAAAAGATCTCAGCGGCCCATGCTTTTTTGCGCGCCTCGTGACGGCCTTCCATATTTTACTGGAGTATTATACTTTTCTCGACTGTTTTGCATAACGTTTTATTTGGATGGTCATATTAATCAGGAAAAGCATGCAGAACAGAAAAAGCACGCGTGCCAATTTTTAGGTTTCTGAATTTTGCGAGATTTGATGGAGCGCATTCACGAAGAATCGGAGCCGAAAAAGCAAAAAGTGTGATTACTCGGCGCCAAGATGTCGGGGAAGACGTCGCAATATGACGGCGGAAGAGAAATTGCGTAATAAACCAACGCGACCTCGTCTCCGGTAAAGAGATCAGGGCGGAGCCGAAAAAGCGAAAAGTATGATTACTAGGCGCCAAGTTGTAAAAATATGACGGCGAAGGAGAAATTGCGTAATAAACCAACGCAACCTCGCCTTCGGTACAGCAATTTAGACGGCATAAAAACAACAAAACACCGAAATTTCTCGCGGACCAGCAAAAATGCTTCGCGGACCGGCGGTTGCGAACCAATGATATAAGACATATAAGGCGGGCATCCTACGCATGGTATAAGAAGCATGTTTTGACCCGACGTATTGCCAGTGATATTTTGCAATTTCAGCATAAAACAATTATAGTTTGATGTCAGGTGCCGAAATTGGCACGTGCTATTTCATAAGTACGGAAACTTATTCTAAAACTGAGTATGGTAAAAGTTGTCGGATATAAAAATTGATGTGAAAAAGTTTGTATAATTCACAAGCAAGTGACTAAGAGTCTAATCTAAACTAATGCTTTACCGGTATGTTTTAATATGTATTTCACAAACTAGTGTAAATATGGTGTCTTTTGTTATAAAGCCCCAGCCACTAATGCAAAAATGTGACATTTGGGAAAACACCTACGCCACGTTTTAAAATAACAAATTAGAAATTATCCTGTTAGGGTTAGGGTTCGGAATGATTTGAAAATTTCCACCGCACTCTGCATTTCTATCGCTCACCCTAACTGGATAACTACTAATAAATTATTTTGGGCGGGTGCGAGGGTGTTTTTGGCCGACGGGGGCTTTGTACAAACGATACTAAATATGTTAGTACAACCCATTACCTGATTACATGAATTTAGTCGGTTCTTTTACACACTGACGTAAAAAGAAGATTTGGTACCTGGGTCCACCAGTTGACGAGAAGAAGGGGGCCCGTTTTTAATCGATATTGCGCCGGTATACCTATATCGAACCTTCAAAAATAAGTCATGCAACATATTTACTTACACAAGAATGCCGACAAAACGCGCTGCGTTTAAATTAAGTGGCAGTTCTGCAGTAAGCTATACCCAATAACTGTATACGGTTATTGGTTTTCAAGTTTGGATTGTTATAGTTTGCTGGAGTGCGAGCCTCAAGTAACGGTGTAGATGTAGATTCTGGCGGCTACCTGTTCGTGCAATTCTGCTGGGTAATAAAATTCTGTACATGCGCCATCACATTATCAAGCCTGTTGTGCGGTGGATGGTATAGCTGCATAGTAGAGCCATCAGTGTATACAACTCAGCTTTGAGACCGACAGAGAGTTAATTTTTAGGAAGGAACAAAACTGTTAGCATTCGACAAAATCCAACGCACTGCAGTGTAATGTCGGGCCATAACTCGCTGACTTCAGAATGGCAAGAATTGCTGGGACTGAGATGACATAACACGGTCAAGGCCAGGAAAAGTCTCGTCGGCACTGGGTAGCAGTAAGAGTGGCCATACCTTTGTAAAAACGAAATGACAAAAATTCTTTTTTAAATGGACGTGCTGAAATTGCCCCAGATGTTCAAGGTCGTGCAAATATCGATAGTCTTTATATATCTTTAATCAGGCTCAGTCAAATGTTGAGTAGCCACATCACTTGATCTTAGTCAAGAGGCTGAAGATGCGATTCGCAAGCGTAATAAACCTGGAAACCATGTTATTAACTTAGCTACTTGAGACAAATTAACGAATGATTAAACCTAGACGTTAAAACTAATGTTATCTGTTCATGAATATTATATACTCGAGGGATGTGAAAAGTAATATAGCAAATGCCTGGAGCAATATTAGGTTATTGGGCAGTGAAATAAAGCTGCCATAATAATATTTATAATTCACTTACCGTGTTTCCACGAACGGAGAATATAAGACTAGGGCCTCCTTTGGGGGATGTCTTTTATTTTCATTTATCAAAAACAAATTACACATAAAAAATTTCGAATAGACAAAATATGAAAACCGATATCCATTTACTTATAAATAACACGTTTTTATTATAAAAAAAAAACTGCTAAACATAGATTATTCAAAAATGACCATATCATCATTCTCTGAAATGTCTTGCAAGTCACTAGATTCATAAATCTCACGATACACGGTACAACCAAATCGATACAGTTTAAATTTATATAATGAAAATCATGACCGGTAGCATGATAACATGAATCCCTTGTTATGCTCGTAAACTCTTTCTATAAATTACAGAAATGCCAGAATACAAATATTCGTGAAGTAAATATGATATTTTTCTTGTGATTTTCCAAAAATATATATCCAGCAAGAGCAAAATAATAAACTCTGTGCACTATCGTTCAACTCGTTTCCGAATGAGTTCATCAACTCGTGTTCTGACCGATTCTGTATTAAGCAGTATCGGCCTTGAAACAATGAGGCAATTTAATTTATTTTATATATATATTTTTAAGAAATCACTTCTGCTCTAACGATCTATAATTAAATACATCCCATGTTTGAATCTATCAGCAGCCTATCACTTTACTCATTTCCGAATGAGTTCACCAACCTGAGGTATGACCAGGTTTGTATTAGGATACGAAACTATGCAGCAATATAATATTTTTATATAAATTGAAAGATCACAAGAAAGCATGACATGAGAAGATCATTTGCTTTATAGGATGTTACCGCTCACCAAATAACTTGTTGCTGCGCCACGTTTGTTTAGAAAATGAGCTAACCGTATGCTGCATTGTTGTCAATGTTTTTGGCTGATGAGTTGTTTGGCATCGGTATGAGAATGTTATTTTAGATATTATAGCTAATGGAAGACTTGCAGGTTTTAAATTATTCATATGTATATAATATTTTTACTTTTAATAAATAGTGTAATATTAATATTTCTCACAGTGTTCAATGTAATATTTCTAAACAGTTCAGTCGAATTAATTTTTGACGGACCTTGAGGACACAACTTCCAGAAAACTTTTTATTTACAATTTATTATTTTTATGTTATTCATCAATCTTTATTTGTTTTTCTGTCAGTCGTTATAGAACCGGAAGAGGTAATGTGTTTGTTTATTTATTATACCGATTACTGATGCTTGCATTTTTCAATTCTGTGTATATGGTGTATATCAATATTGGGTTTGTTGACAAATAGTATAGGCCCACGGATACAATATTGCTCCAATCTTATCAGTCGTGTTTTTTGTATATATAATATGTATTTGTGTTTTTTTGATAATTTCGCAATAATACAAATCATCGCTACAACAAAGACGGTGCGCCATTTGGGAGTGCAACCTTATTATGAGTATTTCTGTAATTCGTATTGGCCTCTCCGTGGCCCCAAAGTCCGCGTCCCACAATATGCTTTGATCAAGCCCCTGCGACTACTTTGAATATGCGAAATTTCTGTCGACAACTACTTTTTAGTCATAGGTGTCATAATATTAAATTTTCAAGCACTAACAGACAGTAAAAACTAGCATTCCCAACAGAGATTATGACAGATTGGATGAAAATTTGCGCGTTACTATTGGCCCTCGTTGGCATCTCTATTTCAAAAGAATCACCAGGTGAGAGTGGTATTGTAAACCTAAAAGTCAGTATATCGAAATGAAAATTTTGTACTCAAGGTGGGCATTTCAAACAGCAAGAGCGCTATGGTTAAAAGAACTGTGCCCACATAAGTAGAGACTTTTATTTCCATCTAGGATTGTCTATCTAGGAATGATAATAGTAGATATCGGTTTACCTCTAACTTTTTATATTTTTATAGATGGTGTTTGTGTAAGGAAGTTGATCAAAGGCAAACTTGTGTCTGTGGGATCGTGTGAGGTAAGAAATATGTAGTTATTACCGCATCAAACTCTCCCCAATCTTCCATGCACCAAAGTGATATCCGAAAGTATTGCTTCGGTATCATATTACAAATTGTTAGTTATCCTAGTATAATCAATAGTATTATGGTAATGGTATGATTTTCTGAAAATTGTTATCCCTTTGTGTTTTTAAACTGAACTGACATCATTCATAGGACTATTTCACTGGAAACTGGGCTTCAATGAAGCCATTGCATATTGGAAAGAGACTAGAAAAGCATGATGACGTATATTTGTCTCACGACCCAACAGTGTGCTTCCTCACTTTTTTCCAATATGCAATGGCTTCAGTTTTTAGTGGAATATACTTACATATTTATTGTGTATTTTATATAAAGAGCCACCCAAAAGATAATGAGGTTTTTGTAACCACAAAATTATTGTCGAAAAGTTACTGTAATCTTTTTACACCTCCAAAAACAAACACGACATGCATTTTTGACGACGCATTTTATTTTTAAGTAAATTCGTATTTAAGTTCTGTGGTAGCGTAAAATCATACATGTGAAAAAGTATTCAACATAACTTACTAAAATACCAACTAGTAAAAATATTATACTTTACAAGGCCATAATTCAGTGAACATGTGAAATTTAACATGACTTTCTCAAGTGTCGCAATATATCAATGTTTACGCAACGTTGTCGTTTTGAATGACGTAATACGCGTTAACCACATTCAGCTTCATGTGCGGATATGAGTCATGCTTGATATTGAGAGGTTTTATACATAGGTTCAAATTATGTTTTACATTTCTTTTTTAGAATAACAACGGCCAGGGTAAGTGAAATCTTCTCAATATTGTTTAGGGATGGATTCGAGGAGCGATTCAAGAGCTTGGCTTAAGATTTTTACCGAAATATCAGAAAAATCCTAAAATCCAAATTTTTTTCTTGAACAAATTTTTGCTGTCTTCCATTTAAACTAATTTATCAAATTCAAATAATATTTAATTTGGTTTTATTTTAATATTAGGTGTTATTGATGAAGTTCGAGCAAGGCTAGAAGCAACCAAAAGGAGAGAGAGAGAAAGGCTAGAAGATAGCAAGAGGCCGGTGAGAGGTCAGCAGATTCGCATACAAAAATCCTTTAAAAATTTCTTCATTGCAATGGATTGTTGTCTCGTGTAGTTTTCAGGGTACTCCAGAAGAATGTGAACCAAGATGGCGGACACCAGAAGGTAGTATGTGTACCAGGTTAGGGTTAGACCATAATTTCAGGTACAAATACTACGGGAGTCACTTGGCTAGTCCCTGAACTCATAATAGAACTAAAATAAGTAAAATTGTAATAACATTATGGCCTAACTTCTAGCTGGTACACATACTACGTTCCGATGTCCGCCGTTTTGGTGCCCATACTTCGGGAGCGCCTTTTTCAGTGATAATAGTCCTTTCTACGGTTCACTCATTTCGCTTTGTCTATTTCTAATAGTTGTTTATCTATTATTAGAAAACTGTGGCGTACTGTACAACTCGAAATGCTTCATTTACATACCTTCTGTAACGAAATATGACGCTGCGAAGGCACTTTGTACCAACATTGGTGGTCAGTTGGCTAATATATACAATCAAATCCACTACAAATTGATCGAAGATTACCTGCGAACCAAAACTACTTATGTGCTTTACGCATGGACTGGATTGATTTACCGGGTATGTGTGATTCGTTTCTACACAGTTTCAATTGAATTAGGCTACTTATTTCATATAACATAAATAGAATAAATTAGATACCACGGGCCCGTATGTATCGTTTTGCTCAATCGTGTTTGCTGTTGTCGAGACATCGTTTTTGTGCGGAAAACAAATACATCTTTTTTATAAATAAATAATGGATCGAATTGGTTGCCAGAAGTAAGACATTGTACTTATTTTCAAAATTCATTGAGCCTTATGCGATCAGATTTTTAAAAATTCATTTCCCTTCATGAAAACACAGTTTAGCCACGGCTATCATTCGTTTTAATTTTACCAACTCGGAGCTAAGTCCCATTTCATTATGAGTCGCATTGGCGCTTCAGTTAGTTATTGGACCTTTGTGTTGATCTATCTGAGAATTGTCTCATGTCAATCGTTTTTTTTGTCGGTTTGAATTACTTTTTCCTATTTTAGAACGAAAAACTTTACCTGAGTACTGGACAAGAGGTCACATTTCCGTTAGAGTATTGGTACGGCAAAACTAAGAATCAAGGGAGTGATCCCAACGTGACAAGAACACATCTTTACGTCAGTGAAGATCCAAACAGCAGCACACGTGGAATTAATGTTCCTCCACCTACGGCGCAGGCATACGGCCCGTTATGTGAAACGTAGAAATCGATATAGCGATTAGTACGTTTTAAAAGAATATTGTATTATATTTTACACGGACATTTCAATCAAAGATCGTAATATATAAATTACATCAAAAGTAAAAATATACCCACAGCAAAAAGTAACGATTCCTATTCTTTATCAGATTGGCAAAGAACCTATTCAATAAAACCTTATAGCTATGATTTTTGATAGGGTCATTCACTTTGAATTTGAAAATAATAAGCAATATTTCAAATAGCGTTTCCTAGAAATCACTTAAAAATCTGGTCAAAATTATTCAAATGGTCGTTTGTATATTCCAATATGTTGTTCTTTGTAATCTTTGCGATACTTCAACGGTTAGTTGAATGTTTATATGAGTTTACTTGATAATTATCCATAAATTCTGTTCTATTTGTTTGAGTCATGCATTGAGCAAGTATGCATCGTCAGTATTTTCGCAAATCAAAATTTAGGTTTCGATTGAAACAATGGATCGAATATCTAGGGGATTTTGAGACTTTATTTTTCGAAAGGAAAATTCAAATAAGAGTGTGACTCCGGAGAAAATATTTGAATAAGGTAACGAATTCGATTCTTCTTCGTTACACAACAACATATCCTTTGACACATAAGGAACTTCTTTTGATAAAGATCTATATGTCATTTTGAGAGAGAGACAAGGGCAGTAACTTTGAAGACGTTGTATGTCAATTGTTGAAACAGTAATATTTAGAATTCAGGCATGGAAAACTAGAGAATAATCTTCGTCCTGGTACTTTTAGTCAGAAATTGCCCGTTTCAAAATGTTCCTGGTGAGATTAATTATTTATTAAAGCAATTTTTTATAAAATATATTTCAAACCCCAAATGTTTGCCAAATTAAGCATGTTATATTGAAAATTGATGCGCCACACTTAAAAATTTATCGTCGGATTTCGATTGTCAAATTCAGTATACTCCGAACACCACCGTAGATTTCGTAGCTTGTTAGGTGTTATTACAGATAATTCTAAACAGATAAACTTGACTAGACTAATGGTTCGTCGCGATCATGACTAGGGCCGTAGCCAAGAATTTTTAAATCTAAACAAAATATTTTGAGAAACTTTTTAAAATTGTTCACACAAGAATGCATTCTAATTTTTTTTGCTATATGTCATGCGATATTTGTATTTTGTACTAAATTTTAGACGGCGTTTGTGTCCGAAAATTGGTGAACGGCAAACTTGTCTCTGTCGGATCTTGTGAGGCAAGATATTTATTGTGCTGTTTTTATTAAAAGTTTGATTATAAATTTATGAATCGGTGTTCCTCTTATTTTTGTTTTTTATTTTTAATTTCAATATATCAATAGCATAAGTCGATGCCGCGTTTAAAGACGGAATTTTTAAGAGTAGCTTGACGTCAAGCTATTATTAATTAACCAGTATCAAGTTATACAATATGCATACGTGCAAATAATTGACTAATTGATATTACTTTAAATTCTTGTATTTATATTCTATATCATTTACAATCACAATGAGCTATCTCATTTGCATACCGGGTTGAAAGAATAGTATTTTGTCTTTTTCTTGTGCCACAATAAGTTTCAAACGAGCAGAGTTATTCAAAGTTATTTATTTATCTAAAGTAAATGGCATCAGTAAATTTGTATAAGTCAACCTATGTACGTATGCTATATATCAGAAGTGGGCAACAGGCGGCCCGTGGGTCACAACACGGCCAAGTCAAGCATTATCCATATGGCCATTGTCAGCACTCATATTTTCTCTCATCAAACATAAAATCTTAATCCGACAGTTCATGTTGAAAAAGAAGTTCAATGTTTCTTGCTCTTGTCGCTGCGATAAATCTTTCACACGTTTGCCCTGCGCCTTTATTAATGAAATTATAGCGATAGCCGTATACCGAATTTTTATGTGGTTCAGCTATAGATGTCTGAAGTTGGCTATATTGTTTCATTTCATGTCAAATTTCTTTCACCCTCTCCATATGTTCCAAACACCTCCAACAACATTGTGTAGAAATTCACACTTAATAAATATTAACACAGCACTCATTAAGTACGCGATGTGCTCCCCTTGTTTATTACCATGACTGTGAAATATAGGTGGCATGTCTACTTGGTTATAATTATTTATTTAATTTCACGAAAATAACAGAAAAGTTACCTGAGAAGACTTTTCATTTATCATGCGATTCATAATTAATCAAATAAAAGTTGAAACAAAGCAAAGGATGGACTGTGCAATTTATCTTTCTAATATTGTTCGTTTTTCTACTTTTTTTATTTTTCCTACCCGCTTCAATAAGTTGACAATGATGAAAATTGGTACTCCTGCAGTATGCGAACCAAGATGGCCGACACCGGAACGTAGTATTTGTACCAGTTTAAGGTTGGGCCATAATTTCAGGTACAAGTACTACGGGAGTCACTTGGCTATTCCCCGAACTCGTAACAAAAATAAGGAAAATTGGAATGAAATTATGGCCTAACCCTAACCTGGTACACATATTACGTTCCGGTGTCCGCCATCTTGGTTCACCTACTACCGGAGCACCTGGAATTTTCAACCATTAACTACAAGTTTAATTATTCCTCTAGGTAATATTCAAGACATCAAAAGAAAGATAAATGGTTATGTGTTGGACAGCGGTTAGTATATTATTAATTTAGTATTATTATTGTCTTCCGGTCGTTATTATGTTCTTTAATTGTTTAAAATGTTTTAAACATAATATTTTTTAAACTTAATTGTGTAGGCGTAAGCGAGAAGTTTGGGAGTACCACTGAAGTTCTTAAAGTACAATGCTTATTATTTAAGAAGAACCACGAAGAAGACGTTTATAACCATAGGCAATGACCTTAGTGGGGCCACAACAGAAAAATATTTAAGTCAAATTGTTGAATGTTTGAAGCAATGACAATGCCTGAAACTAGTTAAAACTGACTCACGTGACTCAGTTCTCGCCTGTATTGTCAGCCACTCTGCAAATAATTGAAAAAAAAAAATCATTCGTTTTGTTTTGCAGTACATTGTGACGTTATGTACAAATCAAAATGCTTCAAATATCTACCAGCTCCTTCCCATGCTCGTTTCAAGTACGACGCTGCCAGGGGTCTATGTACTGGAATCAATGGGAAGTTTGCCAATATATATGACGTAACCCACTACAAACTGATAGAATTGTACCTTCAATCAAAACTTGGTCATCGGTCAGTCTTTTACGTTTGGACTGGTTTATCTTATCGGGTAAATATGAAAAAAATTTAAATTGGCTTCGTATCTTTTTGATTTTCGTAGCTGAAAATATTCTCTTCGTGAAACATTTTTCAAAATAAAATATAAAGATGTAAGATGAAGGTATCCTTTGGGCGTATGTCTTTAAATCTATACAGTGAATATTCAGATTTTTACTTATATCAATGTTTCTTTTGTACAGGCTTGTAATTATTCAAGACTACTGGTGAAGAAGTCACTTTCTCAATACAGTATTGGTATGGGCAAACTAAAACTCAAGCCAGAAACAATGATCCTACTTGAACAAGAACACATCTGTACGTCAGCAAAGATCCAAACAGCAGCACAAAAGGAATTGCTGCTATTCCACCTAATTCAGATGCATATGGCTCATTTTGTGAACGATCCCCTTGATTGAAAGTATTCAGGCTAACCTTTGACTAATTAAACGTACTAATTCAGACTTTATAATGCAATAAACTGTTCATTAATTTCAATAAATTTTATTACTCCATTGCAATACACCCGAAATAAATTTGTTCAAAATCACAAAGTTTCTTCAAAATAACATTATATGTAATGATGCGCTTAGTTCAAAAATAACGTTTAAATTTAAACTTAGGCCAATTTATACTTTCATTGATCAAAGAAATCTTTATTTGTCGGAATTGTTTATTATTAAAAATTCCAAAGTCTTTCCATATATTTAATTCTCGAGTTTTTTCTTCATTTTTTTTTCATTTTATTAGAATTGTCTCATGTCGTTCAAATGCATTGATTTTCTTTTTATCATTTAATGTATTTTTGTCAGAACATGCGTAAGTAAAAATTATTGAAGGAAAAACCCAGTCGGGTGTTTTTTTTATCTCCATCGTTCACTATGATAGATTAATTGGAAAAGATAGTTGGGGCCGCTGGGGTGCTGACAGAAGATTTAAGATATTTTATTGAACGTGAGCCTATATCATATTAAATGCAATCTTGTACATAAATCTTAAACTTTGCGATCGTCTACATTTCCCTCTGCTATTGTTGAAACATGTGATGAATACAAGTTGTTTGAACATGCTTTTGACATTTTTATTAAAGTGCTAAAAAATTTACAGTAGTTCTGAAAGAAAGCTTCTTTCCTCTAGTGTCACCAGGTGACATGAATGGAGATACCATGAATCTCCGATCAGGTGCATTATTAAGAAGTCCAAATAGTAGCACAGTGATGTTGAAAAAATAGTTCGCCTGTAGAATCGTGTTCAGTTCGCCCTTGTAAATGTCCTCACAAAGTTGGTATCATAACGTGACTCGCGGTTGAAGCATATTATTTATTGAGTATTTATGTGATATACGCTTCTCTTTTAACTGCTGAAATGTAAGTTCCGATCACAAAGAGCCATTTTTGGCGTTCTTGTTGTAAAGGAAACTTTTCGGTTGGCCAAGTTTGATGCTGCAAGGCAGGTTTCACAACGCGACACATTGGATATAATGTTCCAACCAAACGTAAGATTGGTAATTCACTAAGTGGAGAAATCTTTTCGCAAGATGCTTTTATTTACAGGCTTACAGTGTGTCCAAAAAGTTTCGCCCGAATTTATGGTAATAATAACTGTACATTTGAATAAATTTTAATGTAATATAGGAAAAGATAAACCCTACCTGCGTGCTCTTACCCACGTGTTTTTAAACACGTTAGCGGGGTAAAACCCTAATTGACTTCCTCAGAGGACAATAAGCACCCAATAGATTGAATGCCAAATTTTCGTATATTAAAAGTTGCACAATCGAATTGATCAAAATAACAGATAACGAATTACACTTAAAAGAGGGAAATATCATAAAGAAAATGAGGAAATAGAGCAACGACCTTGTTTCAGGCTGACAACATGCACTATTAACAATACCTGGTGAAAATATCGAAAGACACAGTGACTATATCCTTATGTAGGCCTACTCGCTACAGCATGATACATGATAAGTACAACATCCAACATCTATAACATCCAATTCAATACGGGTTTACAATAAATAATTTTACAAATCGAAAAAATATATATTATTTGATTACAAAAGACGTTTTTGTACACCATGTAAATTAGAAAGATTAGATAAACTTTTAGCGGTGTTTCAAGTTCATTTGGCCGAGTCAAGCATTGGGGAAATATCCTTGTAAACTCAACTCACGAAGGAAATTCGGGTTTTGAACAAAACAATTGTTTGGACGTGGGGATATCAGGATTAATTTAAAATTAATGCAAATTTTAAACAAAACGGTAAGATCGAAAAGTTTAAATAATATTTGAATACAGAAAATGGAAAGTTTTCCGACGTTACGTGACTTAAGTTGCATTCAATTTTCCTACATAAAATAAATTTAGTTTGATCTAAGTTCGTATAAGTGAAAGAGAGTGAGTGAGAAACAAAGCAGTTTTACCAAATTGAATTCTTCGGAAGATTAATTAATAAAACAAGAACACAATAAAATATGAAAAACTGGGCAAAGATATTTGTACTCGCACTTTCCGTCTTCGGAAATTTTGCATTGGACAAAGTTCCTGGTGAGTAAAATCTTTATGATTTGGAGTCGGGTCTACAAAAACTGATTTCATGTAATGAAATAGCCTACGCTGAAAATGATCTATTTTAAAAATATAGACAACAATGCGTCAACATATGCGCATGAAGGTTAAATGACCAATCTAAATAGCTGAGTAGTAAACAACTTACCATAACTCTCTTATCATTCGAATCTTTTGAAGCAAAATTGCTAATCAGTAAAACATATGCGTATGAGGACCGGCAAAGCCAAACGATTTTCTATGCGACTATCTTGAGGTAATTAATGCATGATTGCGACCAGGTAAACTCATGTTGATAATAAATGAAGCACAACCGGTGTTAGCAAAACGATGTAATTTGCCGGAAATTCGAAACGTCGGTAAATTACATCGTTTTACTAACACCGGCTGTGCTTCATTTATTATCAACATCTTATGGTAATGTTACGTGACGACGCAATATGTGCGAAAATAGTAAATTTGTGGATGAAATATCGAGACCTATGCGACTCAAAAAAAGTTGAAAAAATATAAATGGCTTCTTGCGACTTCTCTCATCTTGAAGTAGGGACCATTTGGAATATATTGATACTTTAATTTGCGAGTAATGCGAGATTTTTTCATATCCATAACAATAGGTTAAAAGCTTCGAAATATATACTCTCTATGTCCAATATTGTTCATGAATATATATTTACTATTTCATTTTTAGATGGCGTTTGTGTGAGGAAATTCGTGAACGGCAAACTTGTCTCCGTGGGATCGTGTGAGGCAAGATATTTAAATTATTTTCGTATGTAATTTTTAAGCCTATATATCTAGATTTGTTGTGGCTTGGTTCGTTTGTAAATCACAATTTGTCAATTACCTTTTGCCATAAGAAAACAATTGCATTAAGGTCAATAACGTCCGGGTAATAACTCATTGTTTTTCCGCGTACTCTGATTTCGGGTAATTTGACTAAGCAGTATGCATATATGAAATTTCCACATCAACGATGATTACAGTATTTAGACTGAGTATTGTGGCTGTGAACTTTGCATTTTGTATCAGTTACAATGAGTATCAAATTTGAACAAACGTATCTCGGTAATTTTTCTTCGTCATGAAAACTTCTTCTTTGTAAGTAAATTAATGCAAATTATTTACAAACCCGAATAGACATCACTTTACGCAAAATAACTAACAATTAACTGTAATTTAGATGAAAATAAAGTCTTTTTACCTAATTTGTTTATATATTTCAGGAAAACAACGGAGGTGGTAAGTAGAATAATATGATATTGCGTAGTACGATGACATTCAAAAAAAGTGGAAACAAATATTATTTTTTTACGTTATTGACCAAATAGCTTCCTATGTGGTTTTACGTTATTTACACTTGACAATCATGAGTTTATTATTTCAAAAACATTGTTCTAGACATTATTTATGGAATCAAGAAAAAGTTGCGTGGTCAGGTTGTGGAAATGGGTCAGTATTTTGATTGTCTTTTAAGTTTTTTTGGTGATTTTGAGATTTTTTTTTCTGAACAAGCTTTTCAATGCATGGTATTCCTTGAAGAAATTAGGGGAGAGGAATCTGCGTCATTGTTAGAAATTTATTTATCCGTAGTAAAGGTTTTCAGTTGAATAAGCTTAGAAAATTTAGGAAAATATTGCAATATTCTAAGCATCGAGTAAAGGCAACATTTAGGTGGAACATTTTTCTGTTTAACAAAGCAAAGTTGCGTAATAAAATAGGTAAATATGTTGATTATTTTATAATGAGTTTTTCAGCACAATGATTTTGAACCTATGTACGGCAAACAAACAACCTTACGAAATATCACAATTAACTAATGTTATTCGAGAAAAAGTATGATTCATTGCATTTTCCAGAAAATACTAGATCTAATTTTGTGTCTTTTTTCAGGAAATTGTGATGTCATGTACAAATTAAAATGCTTCAAATATATACCAGCTCCTTCTTATGCTTATTTCAAGTACGATGCTGCCAAGGGTCTATGTGAAGGAATTGGTGGACGATTAGCCAATATATATGACGTAACCCACTACAAACTGATTGAATCGTACCTTCGATCAAAACTTGGTCAGCAGTCACTCTTCTACGTTTGGACTGGTCTAACTTATCGGGTAAATAGGAGAAATATTCAAATTCTCTGTATTTTTTATTTTTATATCAGGAAATATTGCAAACTACAGCTACTACAAAATCATTTTACGAAACCTTTTATTTAAAATAAAGAGTTCGTGTGAGGAGGATAAACTCCAGCGATGTAACTGCCACAAACTGGCCGGCCACATCCTTCAGTGTGACCCTCGTCAATCCTCAGATTTTTTCTTATCCAACATTAAATCTCAATCAAAAAGTTTATGTTTAAAAAGGGGTCACATGGATAAAAGTACATAACATTTTTCTCTTGTCGCTGCGTTTCAGACGTTTCGCTCAATGCCCTTATTACGGCAAGGTGATGCGATAGCTCCCTTTTTCTTCTCTTGCCGTTCCCGCGGCGCTCGGGTTGTCGGTAATGTATTTCGTTGCTGTAGGCTTTCATATAACATTTGCTTTCATTTCTTGTTTTGTAATAATCTTTCATTCTTTAATTCGCTGTGTACATGGGAAAACTAAATTTTTGTGTGGCCCAGCTACATTTCCGAAGTTGGTTATCCGGCCCACTGACAGGAAATTTTGCGCACCCTTGTATTAGGGCATCTGCTCAATTCTGTGCAATGTATACCCAGACTGTTGTTCAATTCAATGCTTCATCTCTTCACATATATATAATATTACATTCTAGAACAACAAATTATTCTTGACTACTGGCGAAGAAGTTACTTTTCCGATAGAGTATTGGTACAAAAAAACTACAAATCAAGGGAGTGATCCTACTTGGACAAGAACACATCTGTACGTAAGCAAAGATCCAAACAGTATTTATAGAGGAATCAATGCTCCTTCACCAACATCAGAGGCTTCTGGTCCACTGTGTGAACTATAGAACGAATGAATAAACTCATGCATATAATTGAGCTTACTAATTTAGACTTCTTTGTTAAGGAAGTTGTTTAATATTTCAATATAAAAATTCTGTTGGACACGAAAAATTCTGTTTGGCCCGCACGAATAAAAGTTTGGGAACCGCTGTGACATTTAAGAATAAAAAAAACTGCTCTTAACTTTTCTAACTTTTTAGGACATGAATGACCCCCTCGAGTCACAAATTCATTCTAAAAATAAACATTTGTCGGAAGTATCTTAATAGTAAAAATTCCAAAATCTTTCAAAATTTTTCCCTTTTTATCATCATTCCAATTATGTCTAATGTTGTTCAAATGCACTGATTTTTCTTTTTATCATTTAATGTATTTTTGCGAGAACATGTATTATGTAAAAAGAAATAAACAAAATACCAAACATAAAAACCGAGTGAATTTTTTTTGTTTGTTGATCACTATGATAGAATAATTGAAAGAGAGTGGGAGGCGATGGAACGGTGACAGAAGATTTAAAATAAAGATATTTTATTCAGCTCAAAACTAAAAAGAAAATTGAATGCAATCTTTTACATAGAATCTCAAATCTTGTGAATGGCTACATATACCTCTGCTTCCGTTGACACATATAATGGATGCAAATTATTTTAATACGCATTTAAAGTTTTTAATAAATCAATGGAAATTTGCAGATGCTCTAAAAGAGAGTTGTTTTTATAAAAAGTTCCAATCAGGACGATACATTTCTCGAATCTGAGATATCCTTCACCAATTGTAGCGTTTAATAAATAATCTATTATGGAAGGGGAATAAGAATCAAGCTAAGTACTGGAGTCTCAATAAATCTCCTATGAAGAGCATGAATAAATATAGCCAACGTGTGCCTTGTCAGAGTGCTGTTGACACGAAAATAATCTTCTGTTGAATCAAATTTAGTTTGCCATTGTAAATGCCATTAGAATGATGGTATCACAATGTTATTCATGAAGTATTTATCGAAATGTAGTGATAGACGCTATTTTAACGTCTGGAATGCAAGTTTCGCTTACAAAGTGCCGTTTTTTCTATTTTATCACAAAAGATACTTTCCGGTTAACCCTTTGTATTGCTGAGATGAAAGCTTTACATCACAACGCCTTGGTTCTATTGTGCCAACGAACGTTAGATTTGCCATTCGCTGAGTGGGAAAATCATTTCCCACAATCCTATTATTCGCAAGATAACATTAGGAAGATCTGATAAACTTTTAGCGAGATTTTCATATATTTGGTTGAGTCAGTCATTGAACAATTATCCACGAAAACTCAACTCACGATAAAAATTCAGATTTTGAACAAAACAATTGTTTGAATATTAGGATAAAAGTAAAATTAATGCAAATTTAAAACATGAAAGTAAAGTCTAAAAGTTCAGATAATATTTGACCACAGCCAATAATAAGTTTACCGACATTACGTTACTTATAGGCTACATTCATTTTCCCTACATAAAATAAATTTATTTTGATCTAGTTTCTTATAAACAAGAGTGAGTTAGTGTGAGATAGAAGCAGTTTAACCGAATTGAATTCATTGGGAAATCAATTAATTAAGCTAGATTGCTAAGAACATAATAGAATATAAAATAAAATTGCCCATTTTAATGCTGAAAACCAAATTTTACATTACAGCACATTGGTTCAATTGTGCCAAGCGAACGTTAGATTCGAAATTTGCTAATCATTTCGCACAATCCTATTATTTGCAAAAATACTTTAGCAATTTCCGATGAACTTTTAGCGGGATTTACATTTATTTGGTTGCGTCAAGCATTGGGAAAATATGCACTGTAACTCAACTCATGAAGAAAGTTCAGATTTTGAACAAAACAATTGCATGACATTTATTAGGATAAAATTAAAACTAATGCAAATTTAAACAAAACGGTAAGGGGTAATAGTTTAGATAATATTTGAATACAGAAAATAAAAAGTTTTCAGACGATACGTGACTTAGGCTAATTGATTTCACTACATGAAATAAATTTATTTTAATCTAGTTTTTCATAAGTGAGAAAGGGTTGGTGAGAGACAGAATCAAGTTTATCAAATTGAATTCATCGGAAGATTAAATAATAAAACTAGAACATAATAAAATATGAAAATCGGAGCAAAGATATTTTTACTCGCACTTTCCGTCTTCGGAAATTTTGCGCTGGAAAAAGTTCCGGGTAAGCAAAACCTTTATTATATGACTGTTAGAGTCAGGTCTACAAAACTGATTTCATGTAATGGAATGACCTGAAATTTATTTACAAAATTTATAAAATTTCAAAATTATTTATTTTAAACAACAAGGTAGCAGTGCGTCAATGTGGAAATGGAGGTCAAGCGACTAATCAAAATAGACTATACAAAACTTACCATAATTCCCTTATTGGTCGAATTATTTAAGCGTTTTGGCAGGGTTAAAGCGTCAATTACTAATCAATAAAGCATGCGTATGAGAACCGATGAAGCCAAACGATTTTCTATACGACTATCTTCCGGTAATGTCTCGTGGCGACGCAATTTGTAAAATAGTAATTTTGGGAATGAGATATCGAGAACTATATTATTTCATTTTTAGATGGAGTTTGTGTGAGGAAACTGGTGAACGGCAAACTTGTCTCCGTGGGATCGTGTGAGGCAAGATATTTAATTTTTTTTGTGTGTAATTTTGAAGCCTATAAGTATATAGATTTGTTATGGCCTGGTTCATTTGAAAGTCCTAATTTGTCAATTACCTTTTGCAATATAAGAAATCAATCTAATTAGGGCCAACATCGTCCGGGTAATAACTTATAGTTTTTCCGCGTACTCTGATTTCGGGTAATCTGACTCCGCATTATGCACATAACAAATTTTCACATCAACGCTTACTGGTTAGTTGCGCTGTAAACTTATTTGTATTTTGTATAATTTACAATTCATATTTAAACAAACGTAGTATGTCGGTAATTTTTCTTGCGCTGAAAACCCTTTGTTTATAATGTAAATTAATGCAAATTATTTACATACCCGAATAGACATCACATTATGCAAATGCACTAACGTCTTTTTACCTAATTTTTTATGTATTTCAGGAAAACAACGGAAGGGGTAAGTAAAATAATATGATATTGCGTAGTACGATGACATTTAATAAAAATATCAGTAGAAATAAAGTAGAAATAAATCATATTTTTTACTTCATAGACCAAATAGCTTCTTATGCGATTTTCTGTTATTTACACTTGATAAGCATGAGTTAATTATTTCAAAAATATTGTTCTAGACATTATTAATGAGATGAAAAAAAGGGTGCAAGACCAGGCTGTGAAAATGGGTCAGTATTTTGCCTGTCTTTTAACTCGTTTTGGTGTTTTTTTCTGAACAAGCCTTTTTATGCACGGTATTCGTTGATAAAATTAGGGGAGATGAAACTGCGTCATTGTTGGAAATTTATTTATCCGTAGTAAAGGTTTTCAATTGAATAAGCTTAAAAAATTTAAAAAAAAACTTGCTATGTACTTTGCATCGGGTAGAAGCAACATTTATGTGAAACATTTTCTGTTTAACAAAGCAAACTTGCGTAATAATATAGGTAAATATGTTGATTATTTTATAATGAGTTTTTCAGCATAATGATTTTGAACCTATTTACGGCAAACAACCTCAGAAACTCCAGAATTAAAGTTAATCGAGAAAAAGTATTATGCATTGCCTTTTTACAGGAAATTGTGATGTCATGTACAAATCAAAATGCTTCAAATACATACCAGCAAGTTATGCTGTTGATCAAAAGTACGATGCTGCCAAGGGTCTATGTGAAGGAATCGGCGGAAAATTAGCCAATATATATGACGTAACCCACTACAAACTGATTGAATCGTACCTTCGATCTAAACTTCAGTGGTCACTCTTTTACGTTTGGACTGGTTTAACTTATCGGGTAAATACAAAAAATATTTCAAACTCTGTGTAATTTTTTGATTTTTGTGTTTCGAAATATTAGAAACTACAACTACTCCAAAATCCTTTTGTGAATTTAAAATATAGAGTTGTTGTGAGGCGGAATAAACTCCAGCGATAACTTCGACACATAAATGTAGCACGAAAGTACTGAAAGTTCTTTTTGAGCAGAGGTGTGCAACAGGCGGCCCGCGGGCCACAAGCCCGCCACGTCCTTTGGTGTGGCCCTAGTCAACACTCAGAATTTTCCCCATGGAACATAAAATTTCAATTCGAAAGTTTATGTTTAAAAAGAGCGATCACTTGGGTAAAAGTACATAATATATTTTCTCTTGTCGATGCTTTAAATTTTTCAGCGTTTCGCCCAGTGCCTTTATTAATGTAAGGTTGTTAGATAACTGCGTTTTCTTCCCTTGCCATCCCCGCGGCGCTCGGGTTGTCGGTAATGTATTTCGTTGCTGTAGGCTTTCATATAACATTTGCTTTCATTTCTTGTTTTGTAATAATCTTTCATTTTTTAATTCGCTATGTACATGGGAAAACTAAATTTTTGTGTGGCCCAGCTACATTTCCGAAGTTGGTTATCCGGCCCACTGACAGGAAATTTTGCGCACCCTTGTATTAGGGCATCTGCTCAATTCTGTGCAATGTATACCCAGACTGTTGTTCAATTCAATGCTATATCTCTTCACATATATATAATATTACATTCTAGAACAACAAATTATTCTTGACTACTGGCGAAGAAGTTACTTTTCCGATAGAGTATTGGTACGGAAAAACTACAAATCAAGGGAGTGATCCTACTTGGACAAGGACACATCTGTACGTGAGCAAAGATCCAAACAGTGGTCTTAAAGGAATTGCTGCTCCTCCACCAACATCAGATGCAGCTGGGCCATTGTGTGAACTATAGGTCGAATGAATGGACTTGTGTATATAATTGAGCTTACTGATCTAGACTTCTTTGTTATTAAGGATGTTGTTTAATATTTCAATATAAAAATTCTGTCGGACACGAAAAATACTGTTTGGCCCGCACGAATAGAAGTTTGGGAACCGCAGTAAAATGAAGAATAAAAAAATGCTTTTTTAGGACATGAATGACCCTCTCGAGTCTCAAACTCATCCAAAATATATTCATTTGTCGCCGACATCTTAATAGTAAAAATTCCTAAAGCTGTATTTGTCTTTTTTTCGAATTTTTCCCTTTTTTATCATTATTCCAGATATGTCTAATGTTGTTCAAATGCATTGATTTTTTCTTTTTATCATTTAATGTATTTTTGCGAGGTAATAAACAAAATACCAAACATAAAAACCGAGTGAATTTTCTTCGTTTGTTGATTACTATGATAGAATAATTGAAAGAGAGAGGGAGGCGCTGGAACGGTGACAGAAGATTTAAAATAAAGATATTTTATTCAGCTCGAAACTAAAAAGAAAATTGAATGCAATCTTTTACATAGAATCTCAAATCTTGTGAATGGCTACATATACCTCTGCTGCCGTTGACACATATAATGGATGCAAATTATTTTAATACGCATTTGAAATTTTTAATAAAGCAATGGAAATTTGCAGATGCTCTAAAAGAGAGTTGTTTTTATAAAAAGTTCCAATCAGGACGATACATTTCTCGAATCTGAGATATCTTTCACCAATTGTAGCGTTTAATAAATAATCTATTATGGAAGGGGAATAGGAATCAAGCTAAATACTGGAGCCTCAATAAATCTCCTATGAAGAGCATGAATAAATATAGCCAAAGTGTGCCCTGTCAGAGTGCTGTTGACACGAAAATAATTCTTCTGTTGAATCAAATTTAGTTTGCCATTGTAAATGCCATTACAATGATGGTATCACAATGTTATTCATGAAGTATTTATCAAAATGTAGTGATAGACGCTATTTTAACGTCTGAAATGCAAGTTTCGCTTACAAAGTGCCGTTTTTGTCTTTTTTATCACAAAAGATACTTTCCCGTTAGCCCTTTGTATTGCTGAGATGAAAGTTTTAAATCACAACGCATTGGTTCCATTGTATCAATCAATCGTTAGATTTGTTGCGTATTCATTCATCGAGTGGGGAAAATCATTTCGCACAATCCTATTATTTGCAAGATAACATTAGCAAGATCTGAAAAACTTTTAGCGGGAGTTTCATCTATTTGGTTGAGTCAGGCATTGAACAATTATTCACGCAAACTCAACTCACGATAAAAATTCAGATTTTAAACAAAACGAATGTTTGAATATGGGGAAGTTGGATAAAATTAAAATTAAAGCAAATTTCAAACACAACAGTAAGGTCTAAAAGTTTAGATAATATTTGAATATAGAAAATAAATTTTTTCGACGTCACGGGGCTACATTCATTTTCCTTACATAAAATAAATTTAGTTTGATCTAGTTTCTTGTAAGTGAGGGAGAGAGTGAGAAACAGAAGCAGTTTCACTAAATGGAATTCATTAGAAGATGAATTAATTGAACTAGAACACAATAAAATATAAAAAAAATTGCTCATTTTAATGCTGAAAATCAAGTTTTACATGACAGCACGTTGTTTCAACTGTGCCAAACGAATGTTATATTCGAAATTTGCTAATCATTCCGCACAGTCCTATTATTTGCAAGAATACATTAGCAAGATCAGATATACTTTTAGCGGGCTTTCCATTCTATTCAGTTGAGTCAAACATTGAAGAAATATCCACGGAAACTCAACTCAAGAAGAAATAAATAAAATGAAAAGTTTTCCGACGTTACGTGACTTAGACTACATTCATTTTCTCTACATAAAATACATTTAGTTTGATCTAGTTTCTTATAAGTGAGAAAGGGTGTGAGAGACAGAACCAATTTCACCAAATTGAATTTTTCGGAAGAATAATTAATAAAATTAGAACATAATAAAATATGAAAATCTGGGCAAAGATATTTCTACTCGCACTTTCCGTCTTCGGAAATTTTGCGCTGGAAAAAGTTCCGGGTAAGCAAAACCTTTATTATATGACTGTTAGAGTCAGGTCTACAAAAATGATTTTATGCAATGGAATAACCTGAAGTTCTTTATTTTAAACAACAAGATAGCAATGCGTCAATATGAAAATGGATGTCAAATGACTAACTGAAATAGCCTATATAATATATACCTTCAATCTCTTATCATACAAACCATTCAAAGCAAAATTACTAATCAGTAAAACTGCTGCAGTAATACGTATAAGGACCAATAAGGCCGTATCTGAATCCATGAGTTTGTCTAAACAATTTTCCATACGCCTATTTTGACGTTATGTCACGTGGCGTCGCAATATGTTTCAAAATAGTAAATTTGTGGATGAAATAACGAGAACAATGCGACTCACAAAAAATTGCAATTATATAAATGGCCCTCTTGGTTCTTGCTACCTCTGACATCTTGAGTATTTGACTTATATTGATGCGTTAATTGCGGAGGAATGCGAATTTTTCATAACAATAACAATTATTTCAAAGCTTAAAAATATATACTCTTCATGTCCAATATTGTTCATGACTATATATCTATTATTTCATTTGTAGACGGTGTTTGTGTGAGGAAATTGGTGAACGGCAAACTTGTCTCCGTGGGATCGTGTGAGGCAAGATATTTATTTTATTTTTGTATGATATTTTGAATCCTATAAATATTTAGATTCGTTATGTCCTGGATCCTACGTCTTAACTTATCAATTACTTTTTGCAATTAGAAAACAATAAAATTAAAGTCAATAACGTCCGGGTAATAACTTATCTCGCGTACTCTGATTTCGGGAAATTTGACTCAGCAGTATGCTCATAAAAATTCCCCACATCATTGTTTACTGATTATTGTCGCTGTAAACTTATTTGCATTTTGTATCAGTTACAATGAGTATCAAAATTGAACAGACGTAGTATCTCGGTAAATTTTCTTCGTCATGAAAACTTTTTATTTGTAAGTAAATTAATGCAAATTATTTACAAACCCGAATAGACATCACTTTACGCAAAAACACTAACAATTAACTGTAATTCAGATGACAATAACGTCTTTTTACGTATAATTTGTTTATGTATTTCAGGAAAACAGCGGAGGGGGTAAGTAGAATAATATGATATTGCCTAGTACGATGATAATTAAAAACAATCATAAATAAAAAAAATAATATTTTTCACTTTATTGATCGAATAGCTTCTTTTGTGATTTTTCGTTATTTACACTTGATAAGCATGAGGTAATTATTTCAAAAATATTGTTCTAGACATTATTAATGAAATCAAGAAAAGGGTGCAAGGCCAGAATGTGAAAATGGGTCAGTATTTCGATTTTTATTCATCTTTTTTGGTGATTTTCAGAGATTTTTCCTAAACAAGTTTAGTCACAGTATTCATAAAATTACCAGAGAGAAAACTATGTCATTCTTAGAACTTTATTTATCGGTCGTAAAGGTTTTCAGTTGGTAAACAATGAAAAAATGTAAATAAAAGATTGCTTTATTGTTTCCCTAGATGAAGGCCTGACAAAGCAGTATTTATATATAAAAAAAACTTTCTGTTAAGCAAAACATGCTTAGGGGAAGGTGGGCCACGGTAGCGATGCAAGTTATGGGATGAAATTGGTTTTGAGAGGTTGAAACTAAAATTTTGTCATTTAAGTTTTTTTCGTTTTTCTACTTTAGCCTTTCCAACATGACAAACCACTGTCTGATATATTTCAACTTTAGTCCACTTTAAAATATTCATAACGTTGGCGTGTTGATGTGCCTTCCTAATCTTGACGTGGGACAGTCTGAAAATATTTGTTTCCTATGGGGAACAACGGACCGGGAATCAGTGGGACATGCTCCACTGGCCACAATTCGACAGTGTTTGATCCATTGAGTGCTTGGACGCCTAGAGATGCGTTATGTTTTGTGTAATATTAAGGTACCTTTTGGCCCATGGCCCAATATGAAATATATTCCAGATTCAAAAATATAATTTAGATGCAGATTCAAAAATATAAATAATTTGGCTTTGGCCGGAATTAGAAAATTTACTTAAATTTACTTTACTTAAATGCTGACTGTATTTTAAAAATTACACCATCGTTTTTTTGTTCTTTTTTAATGTGCCCCAGGGCCTGACCGAATGTGCCCTACAAGTGGGGTACAATGGGACACTTGATAGACGTTTTTTGAAGCATTTTAGTGAAAGACGTGTGTCGCTAGATTCTTAGTCGATGAATAAATACTACATTTACCCCTCTCTGCATTAGCCCTGCAATGTGAAATGAATGTGCAGAATATAGGGCTTCCCCGCTTTCCCCTACGTAATAACATAGGCATACATGATTATTTTATATTGAGTTTTTCAGCCTAATGATTTCAAATCCATGTTACGGCAAACAAATAACGTTACATAACATCACAATGAAAGTTAATCGAGAAAAAGTATGATCCATTGCATTTTCCAGAAAATACATGATCTAATTTTGTGTTTTTTACCAGGAAATTGTGATGTCATGTACAAATCAAAATGCTTCAAATATGTACCAGCCCTTTCTGGTGCTTATTTCAAGTTTGATGCTGCCAAGGGTCTATGTACAGGAATCGGTGGAAAATTTGCCAATATATATGACGTAACCCATTACAGACTGATTGAATCGTACCTTCGTACAAAAATAAAACCTTCGTGGTCAGTGATTTATGTCTGGACTGGTCTATCTTATCAGGTTTGAGGGCAGATATTTTGCCTCTTAATTTTTGATTTTTCAAAACTATACTAAACAGGGGCGTAGCCAAGGGTGGTTTTGGGGGTTACAAATTGAAACGCGTTCCAGACCCTCAAGACTAATGAAACACACAAGCTTTCCGGTGTTTTGATCTAACTTGGCAAATGGAACTCTTTGAAAAATCCTGAATACGCTCCTGATACTAAACTCACAATTGTGTTTTTCAAAACGGTAGAACTGAAATGTAATAAAGTATATCTCATCAACGAAACATTTTATTTGAAATGTTCCGCTATTTCTAATAGCATATAACATTAGTCTTCGTCAAATAAGAAGAAAAACACCTATATTTAAATATTTACTTGGCTTAAAATTATAAATTAATATTTAAATATTATCAAATAAATAAAATAACACGTATACGTTTAGAATCAAAAGTTCTTTCTATCTACTGGTGAAGAAGTCAATTTTCCACCTGAATATTGGTATGACCAAACTCCGAAAAACGATCCTACTTGGACAAGAACACATCTGTACGTCAGCAAAGATCTAAACAGCAGTATAAAAGGAATCGCTGTTCCTCCTCCAACTTCTGATGCATATGGAGCACTCTGTGAAATATAAGCACATATGTAGGGACTTAGCTTAACACTTTTTTATAAAGAAAATATGCAAAACATCTTAGAAAATCGTGTTATTTCCTTACTTATTGCATCTACAGAAAATTTGTTGGAAATTCACACAAATTCTTTTAGCTGGTGTTGATAGGATATAATTACTTGTATATGGTATTTTAGTTTGATGTATTTTTATTTTTATTTTATATTAGTTCTCAAGACCTTATAACTTTTCAGTCAATACCATATTTGGTTATTGAAAAATCCCAAATGGAAAATTTGTCGAGAGTTTCAAAACGGACAAATTTCGCCATTTTTTTTTTTACAATATTTGGAAAATGTCTAATATTATTCAAGTGCGTTATCTTATCTTGAGTGTTTTTCTACATTTTATTCGAAACCACTATCACAAATTTAAATTAAAAAAGATATTAGAAAATATAACATTGAACTTAAATAAATAAATTTCTCATTTTTGTTATTGACGAAGCTGTCAGAGGAGGAAAAACTGAACGCCTCAAGGTATTTGGATGCCCTTGAATGGTTGAAAGCAGTTCATAGAAAAGAGTACTGAAAGACAATTCGGATTTGTTTTTGTGATTTATCTGGGGTATGGCAGCCATTGCTCGTGCCATGTGTGCCGTTTGGACAGGGGCGCAAAAAACGCGAAAAGTTCTAAACGTATAATGTTTCAATAAAACTTAAAAATAAATGAAACTAGTATTTCTAATTAAATCATAATAAAAGTCTATAAAAATTGTCAGCCAACAATCAATGCAGTTTGTTCCGTCATTTAGCGCAATTGACGGTGACTTCATAACTCAACATGAATATACCTAAATTGATACGTTACTGGACAAACTGCACCTCATGTTTGCTCTTCTATCGTATTGAAGCAAAAATTTATGAATATTCGTACAATAAGAGAGAGTGTTTCACAGCGTGGAAAGAAATTTGAGCAATAAAACCGGAATTATTGACGCCGAATTCCATGTACAAATTGAGAAGGAAAGGCAAAAATGAAGTGAGATTCTTAAATGAATATTGCATGGAATAAAGTAGCCTGTCTGGCAGAATGAAAATTTCGCTTTGCGAGGGCACAGAGAATCACTTCAAGCAGATAGCGATTCAAATCTTGGTTGCGTTGCGAGAGGATCTCGGTTTCATTGAAAGACATCCAAATTCAACCTTGCCAGGTAAACTATTTTGACATTGTTGACGAAATAAAATACTACTACTACTAGGTGTTCCAAATGAATTTATTCACCTTATGTTCGTCTCATCTCACATCTAATGTTCGCAAAAACTTGACCGCATAAATTGAAAAAGCCAAGTAGCAACTATGGTCTTATATATATTTGACTCAACTCCTGACCAGGCGCATCGAGAGCAGGTTTCAGAATTTGGGAAATATGATGATATAGACTTTGACGAGAAAACAGTGTGTGTCAAAGATTCTTTTCAGGGTTTCCCAATCTCCGGATGGCTTTTGCAAGTTTTGCCAACAGTGGCAGTATTCATAGAAAGTTGCGAGCGATCGTTTAGTAAACTAAAATTAATTCTGTCATATACCACAAACAAAGAAAACAAATTTTGATGAAATCATTGACAAATTTGCGCCAAGAAAGGCACGAAAAGTACTATTCTAAGATCTTGTTATTGTCCGATCGTCCACTGCTTATTGCGTCGTTACTGAATTGCTTGTTATGTAATTATATTGCGTGGTGGAGAGCAATCAATTTCATGTAAATGGAAAAAAGAAACATGCGAAGTAGGGGCCGCATTTTTAAACCTTTGCCATGGGCGCCATTTTACCTAGATACGCCACTGGAAATAGTAATGGGTGAGTGAGTGCGAGCAGATGAAGTGAAAAAATATTTCTCCCCATCAGATAAAACTCCCTCAAACTAATGATCTATCGTTGTAGCCGACTAGCGATTCGTGCTGAGCATTTTAAAATACGCTCGGCATTGCAACTCTGATTACCATGCTCAGATACACAGGTCTGAATCTGGTGGGCTTTTATTGACGGGTGACCTGCGTAATATCAAGCATGAGTATCACGTTATCTCATCCCTATGTGTGACTTCCCTATGTAAAGTAAAACATATGCTTGAATCAGTATTTATCATTCTCTCTCCAGATTTATCCAGCGAGATGGAGATTAATGAAACAAGACCTGTATGAGATTAATTCATCCCAGATGAAAGAATAACTAAACAATTCAATTTTTATGCTAGAGGGTAGATATGTAAGAAACTACTCCTTAGAAGACATACAAGTTTTCTGTGAAAGATTTATTATATAATTTTATAACAAAAATATACGCTATGTATGGATAAAAAAAAAGACCAAACTTGGATAATGTCAAGATTCAAAACACCTGTGGTTGGGAAGATTTTCATATTTATTTTGGCGAGAGGAAAGTTGATAGGATGTCTTAAACATGACGTACCACGTCTTTTCGTCCGTTTACCATTTCATGTTGGGTATGGGATTTCTTAGCCAGTTTTTCGTTCCAGACACATGGACTTGATATATTTTTAAAGTTTGTCGAATTCCCATGCTTGGTCACTCATAAAAAACAACAAAGACGATGAAAAGTGACATCTAACACTAACAAAGTGAAATGGAATTGTGTAATTCTTTATTAGAATAATGAAATCAACATGGGGGATGACCCAAGAAAACAGAACCCATAATTTTAAGTACTTCTAAGAAAAAAGTAATCTGACACCTCAACTTTTGTTTGTTAATGTAGGACGCTTCGCACAAGCGTTAAAATCTCTAGGACAGTGGTTCTCAAACTTTTAAAGGCGCAGCCCCTTTTTAAAATATGTCAAGTCTCACGCCCCACCTCAAAAGTAACTAGCTAACAATAGGCCGCAAAATGGATAGTAAGGCAAAATTATGTTTTGTTCCACATTGAAAATCATTGCTTGGAACATAAAAACCCAAAATGAAGGAATTGTAAATATCCAAAATATGGCGGGCAAGATCAAATCAAACAAATATATAGAACATTGTCTACACCCTCCCCCCCAAGATTGTGTGGCGCGCACCACCTTGTGATAACCCTTCTCTAGAATATATTCAGAATGACATGGGTTCTGTTTTTGGGTCACCCTGTAAATAAAATGAAAATAAAATGCAAAGAGTATGTGTAGCCAAGTATGCATTGACAAATATGACACATGACACGAAACAGAAATACCAAACGTGCTGCTGTATAAAAAATATTTCAGTTTTTTCATATGGTAAATGGACAAGCAAGATTTTGAAGTCACAACATTGCTAAAAAATGTAGAATCCAGGCTAGTAGGCTTCCTCACTCAAGCCTTGAGGGATAGTGGAGAGAATTAAGATTTCGACCCTTTCAGCAATGTCTGTAACAACTTTGTTTTCTTACTGAAATTGACCAATCAAAGAACAACATTGAGTAATGAACATTGTGGCATTAGCATCTAAACCCCAGATTTAAATATTCAATTGCTTTAACCCCTAGGCCACTGTGATCATTAAAAAAATACTATTATTCCTAAAAGTGGTTGTGCTCAAATGTTAGTGGTGTTGTCATGGAGTTGAAAGGGTATGAGGCATTGCAAAAAAAAATCCTCAAATCACATTAAATATCAATGTGTTCTGACAGAAAATTGCAAAGTAAATATTGAAAGTGCAAGTGTGTGACTATAAATAGTAGAATTAATTTGCAATCAGGTTAAAATATTTCAACACAGTGCAATTTCCAAGATACACCATGTTTTTCTCATGCTTAGTGAAACACACATCTTTGTACAAGAAATAATTGTGGGTTGATTTACAGCTCTGCATGAGATTCAGAAATCGCAGTGAGACGCTCCAGGAAATTTGTGCTTGATTTTGTAACTTGACCAGATGAAGGAACAGGAGCTTTCTTGGCAGTGATGGTAGATTTGCCGATCGGGGGAAGGACTTGTTTTCTCGAATATGACCTGTCGTTGTCAAATTGGTAAAGGGACTTTGTGTTGCCAATCGATGATCGACCAATGCTGTTGCTATTTGTTGCATTGATTTCTGCTTCCACCATCATTGCTCTAACAGATTTTTCGACGCTGACTCTTTCAAGAAAAAACTCTTGTACCATAGACAATTTTTGTGTATAAGTCATATTGGTTATAGCCGGCCAGTGTCGCCTGTGTGCTTCCTGTGCCAAATTATCAATTCCCATTAAAATCTGACCTAATTCTCCTATCAACCTTCGCTTATTTTCATGAGAATTAGCTGCCTGCTGCTCAAGAATTTTATTCTTTTGTAATAGCTTTTCTTTCACCTTCTGTAGCGATGCGAGTTCGCTGTTGAACACTAACTTGAGTTTATTCGTCTCTTGGCGAAGGTCATCCAATTCTCGTTGTCCGTTTTCAATACTTGATATCAAAGAATGGTTTCGATCCAACAATCCCCTGTGTTAGAAAACACCATTTTTAGTCATTTAGATCTATTTTTTTCTTTTTGAGCTTTATCATATAGGTCACTAGGATAGGATAGAGTTGACATGGGCAAACTACGGCCCGTGGGCCAAATTCTGCCCGTTGAGTAATTCAATATGGCCCGCCTGATGCTGCCACAATGAAACTAAAACCAAATTTTGATGTTTTAGCTGAAAAAGTGCAAGGAATTTGTTGAGATTGCGATTAACTTCAGTTTTGGCACGAGGATTATTATTGTTTTCCACTTTTGCTTTTGCAACACTGTAAATATTGTTCATAAAATGTAACTTTTTACGTCACACTTACATGGCCCGCCAGTCTAGGCCCCTGGTCCAAAACCCCTGCCCACATCTGGGATAGAGGATTTACCGTACATATTTATCCCAGAGAAGAGAGAAAGAGATAATACGGCTTAATCATATGATAAACCATAGCGAACCACCAATTGAATTAACTTCTGGTATTAAGGGAACCAGCAAGGAAGCCAGTAAGGCATAATATAAAGCCAAGAAGATATTCTCTAATACATAATGGCTTTCATATTTCACTGGAAAGAGGAAAGCCAATAAGACGTCATATGGCAAATCATGGCTTCTCGTCCAGTTACCAGTCCATGTTGAGTATGAGAATAGTTGACCAGCTGATTGTTACAGATTAGATAGGATTTACATATTTATTCCAGGGGAAAGAAAAAGCTGATAAAAAAGGAATTAGTCGTAACAATGGACTCTCGTCTATTCACCAGTCCATGTTGTATATGTGAATAGTTAACTGGTTATTTGTTTCAGATGCATAGACTCAATGCGGGAGAAAAAGATAATTCACCAGTAGTTAAATTAATTTCCCACCCTATAAAGACGTGGAGCAACTCCCCACACATCATTATCTTTGAAATGTTATCGATGTTTTACCATAATAGCAACATATTCTTTTAATCTCATTTTTAGCAATTTTGTCAGGCTTCATGTCAAATTGGGCATTAGAAAAACAATCTATATCCTGGCTGTTGAAAAGCCTGTTTCAGTCCGATTTAGTTGACCTAATAAAAAAATTTATTAAAAATAGATAGAGAATACAATCTCACTCATTGGTTGCAGATAATCCTTCATGTCTCTGTATAACACCTTGTATCACAGAATCTGCACCCATCTCTAAATAATCTTCAGGCAATATATCAATAACTCTCATCAAATAGGATTCGTAGATTTTATTCTGCACCAACCTGAATTTTCAGAATAAAATTTTCAGATGTGTGAAATCCTGATTCCCTTCTAGGTGATTTAGCTACCATTTTATGAAAAATGCAAATCTAGCAATTTTCTGGTCTTTTCAGAATGCAGTTGCTTTATACATATTAGTGGCAGCTTATAAAGAGCCCTGATCGTGATGGGGCATAAATGAAACTTTTGAACTTCTTTTGCTTTCAATTAGAACTCAGTACTGCTATTAATCAATGATTGCATGACCAAGTATGTAGTTTTTTCAGTGATGTCTCCTTTGCAGAGAAAACACGAAATTAATGTAATAAGAGTCAAATATATTTTAAAATAGATGTTTTGTGATTTTGAATTATTGTTTAACAAACATTCTGGCAACAGATTAATTTGTTAACCAATTTTTGATAATTTGCTCATCTTCGGTTTGTATTACATTTGAAAAAAGAGGTGACCGTACATTTGAACCCATGTACATTTGAACCATGTACATTTGTGTATATCCGCGGATTCAATCTATATGCGGGTGCTTAAACCCATGGGTTAGGGTTAGTATGGGTTCAATTCAAATATAGACCTTAATAATGCAATAGACCTTATTCATTAGAAACCCATCCTACGCGCAAAAAGAAAAGTAAGGTAAAAAAACAATTTTAACATTAGCTCTTATGGGGAATGTGATCACCAGAGCAGAAATTTGCATTTTTTGGAATTTTCTAGATATGTTTCATTGTATACGTGAGCAGTTTTGAGTATAGAATATTTTTTACATCTTTTTTGATATTTTTATCATGATAAACATGGTCAAGATTTTTGATAATCGTTCATTGAAATTTTAATGAGCGCGGTGTTTCCGATGACGTCATTCTCACTAGACCATGAGATTCTGCCAACGCGCCGTGCTCTGTGGGATATGCGCTCCAACTGCTTGTGATAACAGAATACCGGTACCGGGACCACAACTGGCGTTCAACGAAAGACCTATTTTGTTTTTTATTGGATGTTATATATTTCATGAATTCCATGTAACTATGTACATTTCTGGTACACCTTTCAAAATCCAATGGCCTAACTCAGTTTATATGTTGACACCATGTACCTATCCCAATTTGGATTTAGACCATGAGAGGCCCCTTCATATTTTTTAACCTCAGAATTTCTCTCTAAACAACACCACATTTAATTGCTTGAAATTTAAAAATATGAGTGCATTAAACTTTTCATTCTCCCCATTCGTGGGTGTGAATTTTTAATTAAAATAATAAAAATTTACTTGAGGCAGTTTTGCTTTCAATTTCTTTGATCAAACAACCGCTACAGCCATACTTCAACATAGAAACTTCCAGCAGAATGCGCATAATAATAATTTCCCTTATTATGATGCAAACGACGCAATAATGGCTGTTTACAGTGTGGTTGAAACCAGTTGTGTACATAATTTTCTACTCTGAAAAGCTTGATATATATATGTACTTTTCGTAGAGTTTAAACTTGTCAAGTTTTCAAAAGAATTACAAACTTCGAAACCGAATTTCGAGGCTCTAGGTTTCAGGCTCTAGCCTATCGGTAAATCCAGCCCTGGTGATGGTCCCTACAGCAAATTTCTGGCCCCAATCACTCAGCAGATCGAAATAAATGGTTTTCAACATTTATCAGCAAAGATAGATATTTTAATTAAACATATAGTTCAACTTAAAGCCTGTATAATGATATTATAAATATATGTCCCATTATTACTGCATTGTGAGAAGGCTTTCCACACTATCAAATCTATAATGTTTTAGCGTCTTCCAATGTCTCAGATGGAAACTTCAGTCTTCATTTCGCATATTCTTTTCATTAATGCCATTAGCATTTGAAGCTTGACTGATTCCAATGTACCTTTTCCATTGTTGTTTAATGTAATATCCTAAACGTGACTTCAAATTTATTTCACTTCAATCATCACATGTTTGAATACCCGAGCTGACTTCTACTGCTTTGGTATTAATTTACAATTTTTTTTTATAAATTAACTGTTGTACTTGCTAAGTGTCCACTAAGTGAAAATCTACAAAAAAAGCAGTGGTTTAATAATGGACTACATTTTTGACCGAATCCAAAAATATTCCGTAACTTAGTCAACCCTTCCTCCAAGGAGTTTTTGTTGAATTGTTCAAACATCTTAATTAACTGTTAATCTTGATAGTGAACATGGGGGGCAGCTGACTGTGATGGTCGTATCGCTCCCCAGTCTATATCGAATAACTGTGTGTTTTGTATATAATTTTTATTGATTCAATGCTTGTATTCTGGTTGACAAAATAAATCTCTCTCCGGTATTCAGTCATGTTTTTTAACCTAGATAGGAGACCGGTATTGTACCATTATAGGTTGGAGATATTCATCTTTTTTGCATACTGGTACCGTACAACTTATCCTGCATATTGGCCAACATTTTTGTTCGTAGTCCTATTTCAGTATTTACTAAATAATTTAGTTTTCACCTCTTGCAGACTTGGTATGCTACCGGTAGTTTAAATAATACGTCAGCATGCCTTCAGTAAATGATTGATAGAAATGGTATGGGTTATAGATTGTCAATGTTAAACGCTTCCAGTACCGGTACCGTACCCAGCGCGACATTAGCGCCGCATTTGCAGCGCATATCCCACAGAGCACGGCGCGTTGGCAGAATCTCATGGTCTAGTGAGAATTACGTCATCGGAAACACCGCGCTCATTAAAATTTTAATGAACGATTATCAAAAATCTTGACCATGTTTATCATGATAAAAAAATCAAAAAAGATGTGAAAAATATTGTAAAAAATATTCAGATGTACGTGGTTCAAATTTACACAGGTTCGAATGTAATGGAACCGAAAAAAGATAATGAGAAATATGATAAATCTATACCTTCTCTTAAGTGACTCTCGTTGTTTTGTCAATGTTTCCAATTCTCTGTTAAGTTGAGAAAGCTCTCGACTTTTAAGTTTGTTATTTTTCACTTCTTGTTGATATTTTTTCAAAGCACGATTTCTTTTCGCTTCATTCTCTTTTAAGAAACGATCAAACTTTGTAACTCTTTCTTTAATTTTTTGTTGTTTCATTTTCAAAGCTTCCTCCTTAGCTTTGCAGACCTTCAATAATAAAAATGTAACAACTATTAGGTTTCACTGGTCAATCCTCATTCTCAACTTTCCATAGATTTGAATTTATATTAATAGTAAAACAAATAGATTTCATAATGAGTTTTAAACCTGCCATTCTGTAATTCTTCCCTGCAATAACGATACCCATTTTACACCCAGTTAACCAAGCTTATATCAAAAAATTTATCAATTAGGGCACATCTAATTTATTACGCTACTCATAAATGAAAATGGTATTTGGTCAAATACAGATGATGCTCGGACTTGTGGTGGAGAAAGCCTAATCAACCAGCAACCGCAAAGAGTCGAGCAATCCTCTCACAAATATTATACTCTACTGGATTCGAACTGTGAGATCATGCAGGAAAATCAAAGTTACATGGCATGCGTATTCCTAACACTTACTATCGAGCGATTGTTTTTTGTAATTGAATCTGAAATTGAAGGACATGAAAGCTAACCTCCATCCTTTGACGGAATTCTTCTCTTTTTTCCGCAAGTTCACGATCGACATGTTCAACATCAACTGCTTGTCGAAGCAATGAAGTGCTCTGAAGTGTGTTAATCCCAGATTGCAGTAACTTATCCGCTGAATCTTTGACAATCGGAAATCGCCGAATATCGTCATTTTCCGACCTATCATTCAACTGCGTAACAAAAACATTTTCTTTCTGCGGTTGAAGATCTAGATGATATTGGCTACTGCTACTCGCAGCAGCAGTGATAGGCATTGTTTTGATTAAACTAAACCTGTGTATGCTGAATCTCAATTAAAAGTAATAACCTGATTTTATAACTTAAAATACACAAATCATATTAGCTTGATACAGGGTCCAAAACCCTTAGACAATCTGTCAAAATATTGAGATAAGCAAACATTCATTCATTTTGTGAAGTGAAAGTTTCCGAGAATACTTCAAGACCGGGGAAACGTGAACCTGATGGCGTTGAAACTACATTGCATCAGAATTGGCCAAAAGCAGTCTGCATAATCCTGTTATCTGAGAATTGAAGTACCGTAAACGGTCCGGGTACCGGTACCTACCGGTACGGGTACTCTGTCAGTTTCTCAGTCAGCCAGTGATAAGCACGCCATGCTTTGGTAAAATTTTTCAGTGGTTCAAAACTTTCTAGGAATATTTAGCATATTTCCATTAGTTTCTAGTGTATTTTATTTGTTTAATGACTAAAAGACAGGGTTTTCAAAATAAACTAGAGCTGACGCTGCGACGACACGTCGTTGCCATGAATACGTCAAGCATGTCAACTTTATCGCCCGCGTTGCCAGATCGAAATCCTTCCATTACGAATATAATGTCAGCAATGCACATTATTTTATGACGTTTGCTCAAAAATAAGCGTACTGATGGTTATAATTTACACTGAAACTGGTGCCGTTAATTTTTATGGAACATGTAGGCCTACTGGTAATATCACGCAGAAAATATTCGCTAGGTTTATTGCTCCACGAAGAGCCGGTGATGCTTTCCTGTTTTTCAAAGTTGCCATTTTCGACACAAATGAATTTCCATGTTGTAATTGTTCTGTTTACTTTTGAAATGTAAGCATCATCGTATAATTAGTATTTGATTATAGTACAAAATCCACATGGGTATTAATTGTTGCTGTGGAGATGTCAGTATTAGGGCTGGGAATTTCAGGGAAAACACTTTAACCGTTAACCGGGTAAAATTAACCGGTTAACCGGTTAACCGCCGCGTGACGTTTGACGTAATAATGTTTACTTTCAGCTTGTTACGTCACAATGCTGATAAAGCAGTTTTGCGTGTTCTTATCTCGGTATCGCTTATTAAAATTATTCATGAATCGAGATAGTTTCATGATTGCGCTGCCGCAAAAGATAGGCAGCGTGGTTCGGGCGTGTGGAAGTGTTTTAGAAAACCTATTTCCGTTGTTAAACGTCATTTATGTGACAAATTATCAGTGTTCGATGTGCAAATTTTACTTCGAGATATATATCTTATAAAGAAAAACAGCATCAACTGCGCACTTGTTGTATGACATTGAATATCTGATTTTGCAATGAAATCGTGAACAATATATTTCGAAATCGACCGAAAACTGATTCTGAATTCATCATTGTCAAATTTCCATATCAGCAATCTTGGTACTTCCATTATTTTTCACAATTATTGAGTCCTTACCCCCACAGTTAGTAATATTCTTTTGAATTAAAAGCCACAACAGATGGATTTGCGATGACGTAATCATATTTGAAGAAATTGTACCGTATGAAGATGATTTGTACCTGAGATGTCAGTTAACGTTAAAATAAATCGTAACCGTTAACCATCTGGAATCGGTTAACCAGCCCTAGTCAGTATTTAACAATAGACAGAAGACTTGTGCACTTCAAGTTACCGGAGACAGAAGCCTATGGTTCTCGGGGTATTTCACAGAACGAGATTTCCTGATAGGCAATTTTATCAAATAAAATACGTTGACAAGAGTAATCCTCTGAATTAAATAGGTGCAAATAATCACCGGTGCGACTCATGAGACCTTCCAAATTATGTTGCCAAAAATCAAATTTATTTCGAAATTACTACAGCTTAGGTAATTCTCAGTTTGATGCAGATTTATTTTATTTTTAGAATCTCTGCAATAATTAACCATATTGACTTTCCAAGATTTCAACAGACCAAGCTAGCTCATCAATGATACCTTTTTATAGGGAATATTTTCAATGACACAGATTATATCAAATATTGGATCCTTATAATAATAAGAAAGTGTTTTATTCAATTTTAATGGGGAATCATGCTTGGTTGGCGTTGAGCATGATCATATGATAAAATGAAAAAGGTGCGATTAACATCACAAAAAAGTATTGCGGAATAATTCAAGAGATCTTGCGTGAAAGCAAATCACGTGCACCCAGAAGTAGAAGTCTCATCTCTGAGCAAAGTAACCTCCGACCACTGAAATTTAAAATCGACTGGAACTATAGTGAAATATAGTAGTGCAGAAAGCGCCAGTAAATGCCAATTTATTCCATTTAAAAGTAAGTCGTAACGATTTATTTAATCGTATAATATTTTAGTTTAGGAAAAGTTTCTCGTCTGGCAATCAAATATCTTCACTGATATATGTAAAACACGCTTCCTGTACCCGCTGCTTTACCCCCACTCAACGCAAATATCAATGACCACACATATGGAAATCTAGGATTTAAAGCATACATATCTTTCGACATCAAAAGCACCATGCATAATAAGAATGTTACTCTCTACAAGCCCACAGCAGTTACGTTTACAATATTCACTTACGAAGCATTGAACGCTTCGTCTATATATTATTTTTATCAAGAAAATCGCTTATGCCTCAATTTCTTTCAGACTATTTTAAACGTGAACTTGAAGCTACAACTGAAAATAGATGAGTGGCAATTTGACAGGCATATGGCAACAGAATGGTTGGTGATGTAGAGGGGCTCATACAAAGCCATTCATTGAAGATGTTTAAACAGTAAAATCAGGAAATCATGACAACAAAGAAAGTACAATGAAAGATTAACGTAGCGGCGTTGCTAGATTGATTATTGAATATGGATAAATTCAGTGCAAAATGAAAATAACTGTGAACATTGGAAGAATATAATTGTTTTGAAAAACGCTAACCCGTACCCAACAACGGTATTGGTATTATATTAACGCCGATGTAGCGAAAAAATAGGAGTATTTGCTATGAGAATATTTGGAGCATTCCATCATGAGCTAATGATCATAAATTTTCCACGAAACAGAAACGTGAAAACCTATTAAAGGTCAAGTCTGTTATTGGTTTGCTTGTTACGTAACATTTCCATATCGAACAAAAGCGGAGAATCAGTCAAAATGCTCAATTATTTAGTGATCCGACGGAAGGTTCGCTAAGGCTATTTACGCCATTGCATCTAGACAACGAACCACAACGGGTTTTCTATAAATATTGACAAATCTCCGATTTTTCTACAAGTCTACAAATGTTAAAGGATTGTTGAGATTAGAATATCTTCAAAAAAACAACATTAGGAGAAAAGTTTGATTTCAAGAAAATTACTGCATGTAAAAGGGACAAAAAATATGCTAACGACAATGCATTTGAATTTTGGGAGTACGCAAACTTTTTAAATAAATTCAAATCTCAATACCGAAACTGTGAGTATATATGTGAAAATGTAATTCAATATACAACATAAATTGGCGACATTTAAGATAAATTTACAAAAATAAATATGCATGTTAAAATACATTGTATAAATGCAAAGGAAACAGAAAGACAACAGTGCGATTAAGTATAGATTAAATGATTGCAATAAATGATAAACGATTCACCACTAATTGAAAAGATCTTTTCAATTTCAAGGATATAACATTTTTATTATGGATCAAGTGTGGCAAATTATGTGCAATACAAATAGCGAGGCAATGATAAAAGTGGCCAATCAGAAATATTTGAAAATCGAAATGTAACGTTACTCTATACCGATGCCAGATGTCACAGCCGTAGAAGTTAATTGGACCAAATTCTGGTTTAAAGTGAACTATCTATATTCAACACCAACTTCAATACCTTTTAATCGTTTTTGATAATTATATGAATAAATTTTGAATCATCTATGCCAAGTAGGGTTACATAGCCTTTGTTCGTCGCGTATGATTTAAATATAAGCAGTATTAAAATTATGCAATCAATAATTTTCAGATGTGACAAATTTGTGAATCGTCGCCGAGAGCACATGTGTCTGTACTAGAATATTTATCCAGTTTAGGTTTGTTTTCGAATAAAATAATTTTCACTGTATGCTGCAACTTTCAGTGGCGGTTGAAACTTTTTCTTGTAACTCGCCAAACGCTTTCTCGGCTTGATTTAATAAAGCTGAAAAAAAGTATATTTAAAAATAGTTATGTGCTAACACTGATTTTGATCACAGAAATTGTAGATTTTGTTGTGTATTTCCTTCTTCATGATAAAACGTACGGTATGTCTCATTCCTAAAGCGATAAGCGAAGTTTCTTGCTTATGTATGTTTATACATTTGCCGCCAAATATGGACATCTGTTTGATTTGGGCCCCCATAGTGATAAGTAATTTAAACTGTTAAAAATAACTTCTATTGGAGCATTAAAGTGAAAGACCGAGTTTGGTACTCAGAATAGTCAGTTGACGGCAATTTGAAAAATTTCAGCTGGATTGCAGAAGTAGTCTTTCATTATTTAACATTGCATTTTTACTACAATAGAATAGTTTGAGGAGTTTTCATCAAATTTGAGTGCAGTGGCGTATCTAGGGTATGGTAACAATGGCTCGTGCCATGGGCGCCGTTTGGATAAAGAGCGAAATGTTTTAATAGTAAAATTTTTAAATAAAATAATTTCAACGGCCAATGGGCTCATTTTTTAAACTTTGTCATGGGCGCCATTTAACTTAGATACGCCACTGTTTGAGTGGCATATGTTATGTTCTAAAGTTTAGCGCAAAATGATTTTTTGTAAAGTGCTTTGTATTTTTTATAAAAGTAATAGTTAAATAAAAAAAAACATTGCAAAATAACATTAAATGTATTCATACTTTCTTCTTCTGGTTCTGCGGTAGCATCTCCTTCTTGTGGAATTGATTTATTTCTCGTTAATCTTCCCGCCGTCTCTCTTTCTCTCGCTGCTGCTTCTTCCGCTTCGATTTGATCTTTTCTTTTCAAACCATACTAAATTAAGATAAATTTGTTATATTTTGTAATTTTAATAACCTCTTTTATAATCATCACTGGTACAAGGAAAATTGGAGGAGAGTTTTCATGTTTATTCCGAGGAGATATATTCAGAAGGACAACAGCCTCCAGTCCGAACACGAGGGAGAGTTCCCGATTCATAGACATGTTTGATGAAGGAAGTTGTAGCCGATTACTATTCCGCGGCAAGAAGTCTAAGCCAGAACAAACCCGTTACAGGTAACAAACTCGAATAAGACGAAAACTTGCTGAGACGTCTAGGGTAATAGGCGGCGCGATAAAATCGATATCCGTCAAGAATCGGTTTAATGCTTTGGAAATTATAGGAAATTGTACGTTTAAGCTGTCAGAGCTATGATATCCTACTTCCTAAATAAATTCCTACTGATTTTTACTCTAAATATGTATTTTCATGTCTTTGGCTGCTGGCTGTGTATGTTTGTTGCTCAACATAAAAAATGAATTTCGTTTCTGAAATTATTAATTTCAACAAAGCACTTTAGATAATTCGAGTGCAGTTATTAAAATTTTTTCGATCATTGATTTCTCAATAATTTCCCGCGAATAAAACATTATCCATCTTTCAAAGACGCGTGAATAAAATTACATCAAAGCACCGAATCGATCCATCAACTTATTGATTTCTAAGTCAATGTTAGGTCGATTACAGCATATGTTATAATTTCGATCAAAAAGATTACATAATGATAAAAAGTGTTGAATGTTGTTCGAATACGCGTATATGACTTCATAAATACAATACAAAATGTATTTTCTTGTATATATATAAAGGATCAACCGAAATAAAAGAATACCAAATAAAGCTTATGTGAAGAGTGTTTCATCTGAGTTGGCGCGTGGAACACAACTAAATTGAAGTGGCAGGTTATACTCTCGGCTTTACCCAATCACCCAAGTTGTTACGAAATGGGTAGACTCTACGCTAATTAAAAAAAATTGTTCGTTTTTTAAGAAAGAATATGGCAGGGCATTACATATTACTGGATGCTCGCGTAGAGCTTTGTTTACAGCAAGATTTTGAAAGACCTTGTAAATGTCTGCAATCGGGACCTTGATAGCAGTGCAACAATCAATGTGGTTAAATGTTTTGCTTGCCTTATCTCTTATTCTCTGACGTTCAATTTCTCTTTCTTGTTCCACTTTCACATGCTTAGCTTTCCTTTCCGCTTCTTGCTCTTCTAGTGCTTCAAGTTGTTCGCGTTCCGCTTCCGCTTGTTTTGGATCAACCTCCTTTTTTTCGTCCATAAGTTTGTTAAGATCTTTTGTTGCACCTTGATAAAACGTAAAGAAAGGTGTAATAAAGGGGGAATATTTAGTGATAACGGTGCCATAACAAAGAATGAACTGGTGATAAGATTTAAATATTTCATTTTGCCATGCATGAAACATTGTTAACAAATAATAATAAATAAAATTTACGCAATGATTCGTAATTGACGAGGAGTCGCGAAGGCTACAAGTTCATCTTGTCAGCGACACTTATATGCTGAATTACATCAGCAGATATAGAAATGAAATTGGGTTTATAACATACGGTACAAATTCGACTTATCGATCGAACTTCATGACTCTATAGTGACACCGCGTGTCCCATCACTAATTAATTAATAACTCGCTAATTATACTACATAATTCATCCAAAATCAATAGGCTTATGGTCCGAGATTTGATGAATGCACATTCGCTCGCTTGGAGCAGATTCAACCTTGCCTTCGTGAGATACCGCGTTCATCTAACAGACAAACAGACAAATACCTATCAACATACTTACCAATCTTAAGATCGAGTATAGAAAGTAATACAACCCTTCTTGTTATAAGAAAAGTCTAATTAGGTAAAAGTTGCATCAACTAATACCGATATAATGCAAATTAAATAACGTTTTTACTGAGATAACGATTACTGATCCGAACATAAACATATTGTATACCGGTATACATGATTAAATAAATACCGCAGTGAGAAGAGCGCTTCTGAAGTGTGTGTACAAATATGGTAACTAATTTTGTTCGTCTACTTTACATCAAGTTGTGTAAAGGGACTGACACCTATGAACAGGGGGTATATTCACTTGGCTAACATAGGCAGTCCCCGAACTCGTAATAGAACTAAAATTTAAAAAAAAATGGAATAAAATTATGGCCTAACGGTCTAACCCTAACCTGGTAGTTACACATACTACGGGAGTACCGTGAGAAGTGACACCTAAGGGTAGTTATTAAAAAAATCATCATCGAACAATCAGACTGAGGTAGGGACAATTAGGATATCCACACGCTGAGACAATTATTTTTAACAATCAGTTTATGAAATTTACACTCCATTTTTTTAAGTAGATCTCTCACTTCGCGATATGTTTTCTCTTTCTTGGGATATTCATTGATTTTAGCGATGCATAATCAGATAAAAGGTGGAAACACCAAAGCTGTGATTTCCCAAAGGGGAATATTTTGCGCTCACTACAAAGATAGTTTTAATTCCCAAATGCACGTGTTACAGGTGTGCGCGTGTAAGGTGTGTATGGCATATTTGCATAAAGGTTTATTTTTCAAAAACTAGGAATTTTTTGAAACACGGATGTATGTCAAATGCTCAAACAACCTAGTCCTAGACAATGAGTGCAATTTCTATTTTCATGATAGTGAAAAAACATTACCCGAAAGAGAAAACCATGTCGATTTACAACTCAACATGAAAGTTAAACCAGATTTGGTCAATCTGATACTTTGATGGTTCATTGCCTGGTGCTCCTGAAGTATTCGAATCAAGATGGCGCACAACCTCAACATGGTATGTGTACCAGTATGGGGTTGTTCAGGTTGTGCGTCATCTTGGTTCAAATACTTCCGGAGCGCCCATTGCCTTATGAACACACGAATATTATTTTTTAAATTTGAAACCTCGATATATTTTGGTTAAACCTAAGAACGATAGATTTTAGAGCTAAAATAAGCACAAGTTTAATTAAAAAAAAAATCAAATGAGAGCCTCATACTATTCATAAGTCAAATACGAGCACACTGCGAAGCGTATGTCAATATCTTTAAACTTTAACGAGCACGGCAAATCATGTATAAACTCAAGAAAAATTATTTACGTATAAGAAGGTATGCCAGCCAAACTGATACAAAGAATACACTTTAGATAAGGTAATTACTCGCAATTGACGAGAAGAATGTTCTGATAGGTGAATAATAAAAATGCTTGATTCAACTCAAAGTATTAAATAATACAAGTGTCATTGTTCATTGTTTGGTTAATTTAATCCCTTCCTCTGCTCGGTTACAACACTTGTTTTGCAAATATGATAGAAAACGGTGTGATAAAACCATGTTTGAATAGGTCTTTTGTAAAATAGCATAATAGGAATGTTTGAGACAGAAAATGGAATTGTACAAAATATTTATTCTTCAATTCTGGTCATACACAGCTACAAATACTGGTATAGAAAGGTAAATTTACAGTATTTCTAATAATACGCACAATTTCTCGAAAATCATTTCACTTTGGAGAGATGTCAAAATAAAAGGGTGTGAAGAAGGTGTGTCCTTGTTGTTATTGCATTCGAAAGTATTTGTGACAGACTATGCATGTCGTTGCGTAAATGGGCTTAGATGTGAATCGAAAGGAAACTTGCCACAAAAAATATTCATTTTTTTATAGACAGTCAATGGAAAGATGAATGAAACAAACAGTTTAGTCTTCCACAAAATCAAAAGAATGCCGTTCAGCGGGTTTCGGAGGACAACACGCTTACATCTTGACCCATTCTTTCAATTGAATTTGGCCTATGGTTTGAATGAAAATACAGTTTTTCAAAATACAAAAGTCCAAAGACAAGCCCAGCATGAAAAAATGCGCGTGGAGTCATGAATCGATGAAATTTTATTGAAAACACGCTCCTTGTATTTGGCTATAATAACGCCAGCAATTTATCCGTATTTTCTTAGGATGTCAAGTCCTGACGACGCCTCCTGATCAAACATATTAATATTTACGACCAAATGAAAATAGAGCCAGTGTGTGGTGGAATTTACCCGCAGTTAATTTAGCAACAACATATTTACCTAGAACTCTATATTTTTAGCCATACTAAAAAAATCGGCAAATAAATGATTTTTTGCAGTAATTACGTTGGTATTAAACTGCTTTGATCTGGTGCCGCGAATGATTGATATTTCTAGATCACTTTCGCATTTGTAATTATGGTATCATGTCCGTTTAAAACTTGTTGAATTTGGTTGACATAAACCGATTAGAACCTAAAATATGGATCTAATTTCAGTAACCGTCGAACAGTCGATATACTTGAGGCGGCGCGCAGTTTTAAAGTCTTATTCGAGACGGCGTATAACTGTACAAATATTTTCTCACAGGGTCATTAATTAGTAAATGGGTCTCTGAACAGTATGTCTGGTTTATGTGGAGCGAATGTCATTTTTCAAGATGCATTTCTATGAATAATTTAGTTCGTGAAAAGCAAGCGCCTTTTACCAATCAAAAATTATTACCTTTTTCTCGTCGCCGAGCTTGGGCCGCTGAAAGATACACAACAGGCCGACAGTTTCATAATGTAATGAAGTTGTTGTTAATATGCCGTCATTTTAAAATTCTAGGTTTCCATTCTTTTGCATTTCGGCTATTCGGCTATTTACCAAGTACAGAGAAATGTTTTATAAGCATTTAGTCGGCAGAGAAACAATTCACTTAAAAGTAAGAGCAATAAAGTGAACGCCTCTCAAAAACAAACTCATGGATTTCACAATAATATATAGAAGTCAGACTATATCCCAAGTTTATCTCGTGAGATGAACAATAATACAACCGAATACTACTCTTTTCAAATTGCCAAACTTTTTTGTTCATTGTAGAAAGATTCCATATGCCTCAGAAATTGTCGCATTTTATCAAAAAATATATATATATTTAGAAAAGACGCGCCTAATGCAGAAAGCGAAAGTATAAGAGAACCGCAGCATAGGAATTAATAAATCATCGTTTATTTTGTAATCAACAGTTTCGAATTAAAATTATATTTGCGGGTAAACCGTCTGAGGACTAAAAATATTCAATCTAACTGCAGTATTTTCTACACAAATTCAGAAGTCATGCGCAGGACATCGGTCGGACATTTGGTTGATTTAGAAAAAGTCGTTGTTATGTGATTACTTGTTCAATTGTTAGTTTTGTAAATGAAAGGAACATTGCAAACTAAATTCCCCAGTTAAAATTAGCGTCGCAAGCCGGCGTGACAGCTTAGGTTTAAACAAGCTGCGCAGTTATCACCTCCCATATGTTTGAAATCTTGCACGTCACTATGATTAAAGATTAGGATCACTGATAAAGTATATCTTGCTTTGAAGAAAATAAAACCTAAATTCAAATTAAAATGCGCGAATTAATACTAAGACTGTTATGAACTGCCAACTGTTAAATGTTAGTTCTCAACATTGTTCTTATCGTATTTGAAGAAAATACAACAAAATTCTGGTAAAATGGCTGATTTTTATGCACTGCACCTGCAATAAATAATTAATTATTTTGCTGCAATCTTTTCTAGGGGTGCGTGATGCTGTCTAAATAGTAGGTCCATTAGAATAGGATACATATGATCGATACACGACGGTTTCACTATAGCAGAAAGAATATACTAAATGCAAAATAATGTGTAGTTCAACGGCTGCGAGTTGCTTTAGTTTTCCCAGGTGAAAGTTGGATTTATCTGGAGCTTGTGATCAAAAATATCAAGTCGAAACTTATAAAAAAATAAAATAAATATAAGCCGAGGTTACGTGAAACAAACTATAATTCCTTGCTCTGTGCCTTCGCGCAGGAGTATTCGTATGCCTGATGACTATATTCTATTTTATGCAAGAGTCTTGCTGCACACTAACACAAATGTATTTCATTAACGTTTCGCCTGACCTAGGTCGCTTATTCTCAGTCAAGCATTTTTTAACCATGACAAGAAAAGCGATATCCTGCACATAAACAATGGTTATAAATTGTTGAGACTTTCTCAATGAAAAGGAATTGGATTGGCGACACTGCCAGAACAATAGAGAATCCAAATTTAAAAGTCAATCAATGAATATCCCACAGTTCAGTGAGTAACAATAAAAGAGTAAAGTAAACAACTTCACCCTGTTACCCGGAAATCCGACTGCAGCGTTCGTGAAGTTCGAGTAGGTTAATAGGTAAATGGATAAATTAATGGAATAATAAATTAATATATATGAAGCGGTAATTTATCAATCTCGGAAATTCATTCCAATGTTCCAAATGTGTTAATAAAATAGGTCTATTTAGTTAACCGGTATGTTTGATCTCAAACCAGTTTTCTACGCCAATCAGTCAACCTGACCATTCTCAAACAACTTTTCGGTAGTGACCAAAAATACAAGGGCAATTCTTGTAACACTTTGCGTATTTTACTGTACAACAATTTACCGAAGTGTACTGACACGGAATACTTTATCAAACTTTATTGCATAAATAGAGATTGGTATAATCGTACTTGAACTTGAATATGTTTTACCTGAATTTGATTAAATATTACGAAATTGAGCTTCAGAATACTTAGCAATTAGTGACATTACAATTTATATTGATATGTTACAAACTCTTGGCAGGGAAAATCGAAATGATACTTCATTGAATTCAGTCGGTTTTGATGAAATTATAAATAATGCGCCGATCGCCACATCCCCCTCATTCAAGATTCATAATAACGTAAATGGTTGGTGAGTTGAAAACAATCAGCCACCTGAACTTTTTCAACCGAAGCGCATGGATATATTGGAAAAGGATTTCAGTTGGCGAACACTTGGTGATAAAAAAAAATTCTGCATGGACGACGATGGCATATACTCGCATTTAATTTATCAAATCATTTCTCAATTATCTGATTTGCTGTAGATTAGCTTAGCCAAATAAAAATGTTTGCTTGGTCAAGGATAGCTACACATGACAAATGATACCGTGATAACGCTTTTCAATGGCCCCTCATTCTAGGCTGTAGTCAAACACATTTCGACCGAAAGTCGAAACATTGAAGAACCAAGCATATAAGTCACAAATACTAACATAACAATCATAACAAACCTAAAATCATGTCATTGAAATAAAAATATAATTTTTAGGTCACGAATGCTCACCTCCCAATGCTTGTTTTACGATGAAATCCATCTTCCTTTTTATTTTTTGCAGCTTCTGCTAAATTTTCTGTGGGAGTTTGATATTATCAACTACTTTTCAAACTTATGCTGCTGTGTCTTGAAGTTACTCCGATGTTTACTTCTGGCAAATAACGCTGAATGAACTGGAAGCCGCCGTCATAAATGGACTCGGCTTCCAGAGGCGGTCGTTGAATCAATACATATCGATTCAACGCGGAAGTATAAAGAGAATAAGAATAAACGGGAGTGGGAAAGAGAGAGTGGGGATGAACGAACAGGCTATGTCTTATTCATGAATTTTCTGCAGCAACTGTTGTTCGAGTATTTATAGAAAATCGATATTATTGTTTTAATCCTTCCGCGGTATTTTGATTTTGCCTCATTGCTCAAACTCATTGTCATTTATGAACAATCACGCATGTGCCATGAATAAGTGTGCATGTTGGCCTTGAGTTTCGGAATTCAATTTGGTCGCTTCACATTTATCAGTCCACACGGTGAATTGACAAATCTTCCACTTTTGTTTAATTTGTTTAATAAGTATACTTAGTGCATTTCCCAAGCATTTAACGCACAAGAATTTGTAAGTTCGATCGCTATCGAATATACCAATCTTCTATAAAACAGCAAATTAGCACAAGGTTTGTAACACCTTCGCTCACTGGCAAGGGTTATATTAGGTGTGCTGTTAGTGAGTAACCTGAATGAATTGTACATAAGATAGCACCCGATATCGCTTAAAAACGCATCAGCACACTCCCATAAAATCCTACGATCTTGAGTACGAAGCCCCCACCACTAATGCAAATTTGAGAATAGTGAAAAACACCCCGCCACGATTTTAACAAATCAGTAATTATCCAGTTAGAGTTAGCAATGATTTGAAAATTTCAATTTCTAGCGCAATTTGCATTCCTAACCCTAACTGGATAATTACTAATTTCACAGTCTGGGCGTTTGCCGTGTGTTCTTTGTCAGGGGCTTTGTACACGGGATCCAAATCCTATCATCTGCTATTTTTAATATTCTATACTTTAAAGGTTTTAATTTGAAGTCATGCTACATATTATTGCATATCAAACCGATGTTTCCTATCGCATTTGACAGCACTCACAAAAGTTTAACAGTTACCACATACTTACCATTAGTTCACCCGAACATTCCGTGGAGATAAAACTCATCTTTTGTATTTTGTTCAAAGCAAATAGGATTTTACAGCTATCCTCCGATGACAGGAAAATCGGCAGTGGTTACGTATAGTTATAAACTATTTTAAAAAACATATGAATCCACTATTCTCCTTCCACGAGATGCTACTGCGGCCTAAAAACTTAACGCAATCAGCGCATGAGATTCATCGAATGAACAAACGCAAGAAAATTTGTTAATTTTGATCATTATCAAATATACCAATCTTCTACAAAACAGCTCAGTAAAAGCAAATTTGTACACAGTTTGTAACACCTTCGCCCACTAACAAGGGTTATATTAGGCGTGCTATTATACCTCAAGATAGTTTTTGAAGTCCAAATAATTGTATATAGAGGCGTGAATAGCAAATCCACACGTAAACAAGATTTATCGTTGCGTTTTCGAAAATTAGTGAAAATTTCAATAGTATTTGAAAACATCTGTATCGATAACTTTAAAGATGATGTTATTATTAAGTTCCTGTCTTTGGTCACAGACCATTGTAAGGGCGCGTATGACATTCAATGGACAAAATTGAAGAAAGCATTCATAGCTCTGACATAATCTTCATTAATATTCATGAACTTAATGGATTATCATGACAAAGCAGAAGAAATTCCTTAATCTGGCTGACATATAGGTTTGAGGTTTGCAGATGTCAGTTACTGCAACAAAACCTCTGTAATAAGCAGGTGATTAAACGTGAATACAAATTGATAGAATCCAATCACCTATATATATATATATATATCACGAGAATTGTTGCCTCAGCAGGGGTATTGGAAAGGGTTCCATTAAATTTGAACCCACGACATTTCACCTGTATGGTGGCCCATCGTTGTCACGCGTAAAATTGAAAATAAAAATAAAAAATAAAATAAAAAACCGAAAATAAAAAAATTTTTGTGAAAAAACATAAAAATAATTAAAAAAAAAATGAAAAAAAAAATTAGAATTAAAAAAAAATTAATAAATAAAAACGAAAAAAAAAACAAAAAAAAAAAATCAAAAAAAAAAAAATTAAAAAAAAAAAATTGAATAAAAGAAAATAAAAGGTTGACAACGATGGTCCGCCTCGTGGCCCATCGTTGTCACGCGTTTTTATTTTTAGAAAATTTGCTTCTGCTTGGGACCAACGTTGTCAGGCATAATCCTACGCGCACAAATGTGTTCCCTGGGTTTCAAACTCACTACTGATTTTCTTGAGCAATATTCAATATGAAAATGTTCTATAAATTCTCCATGCTACAAGTTCAACAAGAAGTAATATATTTATAATAATGATAAGAGAATAAAGAATTGAATACGCAAATTCGGAAAATTTGTTTTTACGTGTATAAGGTAATTTAATCGGAGAATGCTGCTTAACTACTCAGTTGTCTGGACACTCGCGATGCCGGTACCGTACCGTCTTACCAAATACCGGTAGTCGGTTATAGTAGCTTTGCGTCTGACCGTACCGTTAACCATACAATCACTCATGAAAGAATGGGAGATACGGATAGTCTCGTAGAATATAGACTACTGAAACACTCTCTGCGCCTGCCCCATACCGTACAGCCGTAACGTACCGATCCAGACAAATGATAAATCGCCCGTGCTCAACCATTTATTTCAATCCATACCTCGATCCTAGTAGAATATAGTGAGTCGAGGTATGGATTGAAATAAATGGTTGAGCACGGGCGATTTATCATTTGTCTGGATCGGTAAGTTACGGCTGTACGGTATGGGGCAGGCGCAGAGAGTGTTTCAGTAGACTATATTCTACGAGACTATCCGTATCTCCCATTCTTTCACGAGTGATTGCATGGGTACCGGTACGGTCAGACGGTACCGTACCGGCATCGCACGAGTGTCTGAGCAGTTAAGCAGCATTTTCCAATTAAATTACCTTCTACACGTAAAAACAAATTGTCGTATCCAATTCTATATTCTCTTATCATTATTATAAATATATTGCTCATGAAAATCAGTAGTGAGTTAGAAACCCAGGAAACACATTTGTGCGTGTAGGATTAAGCCTGACAACGTTGGTCCAAGCAGCATCAAATTTTCCAAAAATAAAAACGCGTGACAACGATGGGCCACGAGGCGGACCACCGTTGTCAACCTTTTTATTTTCTTTTTATCCAATTTTTTTTTTCAATTTTTTTTTTTTTTTCAATTTTTTTTTAATTTTAATTTTTTTTTTGTTTGTTTTATTTTTCAATTTTTTTTTAATTTCAATTTTTTTCTATTTCCTTTTTTTCAATTATTTTTATGTTTTTTCACAACTATTTTTTTATTTTTGCTTTTTCATTTTATTTTTTCATTTTTTTTTAAATTTTACACGTGACAACGATGGGCCACCATACACCTGCATACTATTGCACCTATAGATTTTTTTTTACGGATATTTGAATCCATACTAACCCTAACCCATGGATTTTAGCACCCTCATATAAATTGAACCCGCGGATATACGGGTGCAAATGCATGGGTTCAAATGTACGGTCACCATTGGAAAGCCCAACCAACGAAAGTGTGAATAATATATTCCGCTCGCGTTAACTTTTCACAAAGTGCTTATTATAAACGGTATAATTCGTTACGCCGAGTGAGAAATATCGTAGATAATTTTTTTTTTAAATTGTCTTAAAGTAATGCAACGCATATTGCGTAGAGGCAATTTACACAGAGTTGATTAACATTCAAAATCGATATGTTTTCTCACAATCAATATCCAGTATCTCTTATAGCATTTTTCAATTTCATTCGATTGTCACCTCAAAAACTTGACCCTGATTGGCCTACAGACGTAAAAATAACACATTGCATCAACAATTTCATTTCACAATCGATGACATTGCCGCACGTCCGTGTTAATATACCTACGATTTTCGCGCTGCTATCGATTCAATTAGCTTTGATTTCTGCTATGTTCGATTAAAAAAATCGATCAAAGAAACCGAAAAACCGCAAATCAATTCAAAAATTATGTTGCTCAATCATCTTTCCTGCGATTAACTATTTGGTATACCTGTCGAATATTAGAAATTTGTTACGGTGTCGAATTTTGAAATTCTTCATCGTTTATCGAGCTATATTTGTAAATGAACGGCCACATATTTCACATATGTGTTCTACTATAGCGCAGCAGACCTAAACTGCAGTTATACCTGTTAGGTGTGCATGTCACATATCGGCGCCTTAGTTCAGTAAGGTCTTGAACATGTATCCCGGCTCTGTTATACTAATTATTATGCTGATACTGTCACGATTTTGAGGCAAATAAACATACTGTACATAGATACAAGTCTGAGAGTGCCATGTGACTCAGTCGTGTAGCCTTTGAAAGCTAATTTTCAAACAGTTGCTTAATTTATTGCTGTAATGAATTTTTTTTTTATTGCTGTAAATAAATAAAGTATGCGGGGAAGAAACAAAACCTTTTCGTCTAACAAATGGCAAGCATTTTTTCAGTAAAGGGTCGGCCAAATTGGTAAAATAAAAGAAGTCAACGTTTTAAATTTCAGAACTCAAAGTGTTATCTAACTGGAACGAGAAAAAAATCATGTGTCTCAGAACAGGTTGCTCGAAAAATCAATAACAAGATTATTTCTAATTTTTTGAAAAATCGGTTCTCTTTCGACTTCTTTGTTACTAGTTCCAAAATGAAATGACTAAAATTGCTGAGTACGTTACAGATTTCGCACCCTATTTTTAGTCCCACCTGCCATGAGTAAATCAAAACCACATCAAGGTTGTTTTCTCTTAAAGATCGAAGATTGTTATTTAATTTGACTTTATCAGCACAGATCGTTCGCCCAAATTTTTAGACATCGTGGGTAGACGATTAGTTTTCGTTTTACCTGCCAGCCTGCCTTTTTTGAATTACTGCTATTAAATTTACTTTATGCGGTATTCTACTTATGCTGATTACTATTTGTAGAGCACCAAAGGGGCAATTTATACACAACCGAAATCAACGCAAGTAATAGAAAATATACAGAAATAATACAATGATATCTCGTTTATTAATTTAGTAAAATTTTTCTCGAAATCACCTTTACATTGAACACACACATATATATATCGTCGTGGATCAAATGTCATATGAAGGTAGGATAACCGAGAATCGAATAGCGGTAGTTATGTGCGAGAGGATTGCTGGACTCCTTGCCGTCGTAGGGTGGTTCACGTGACCGCTGGTCGGTTACGTCTTCCTCCACCATCAAGTCCATGCTTCCGAAAAACAAATACCCGGAACTAATCCCATACCCGACATGGACTAGTAACCGGACGAGAGGCCGGGGTACGCCATATGGTTAAGCCGTGTTATCGGCTTTCCTCTTCCCCGGGATAAATATGTAAATCCTATGATCTTATAACCGTGGGTGTTACCGCTTGGGAACCAGCTTCGGTTCCCCTTCCCTAGTAAAGCTGTGTTACTATCATTTTCTAATAATTTGTGCACGGCTGGTATTTTTTGTTGGTTGGAAAAGTAGACTTGACTTACCTCCTGAATATTAGAACAATACACAAATTTCAAATTAAGCTTACATGCGAAAATATCAATAATTAAAATTTGATATATATATCTAAAAATCGCCTCATGAGGAATTATCGGAGGGAAAAATATCTAAACAGAAATCAGCCGATCTGCCCAGAAACGGAGCGAAATCTGACAGACTACGTAAATCTATATTCCTTAAACTGCTCAAAGTTAAAATCTTTCTTATTCACGCATTTTTTATTCCCGTGTGATGGATTTTGAATAACTAAAGTCTATTTATTCTACTATAGTACTATACGATCGCGCAATTCCAATAACCCGGGAAAGTCATAATGACGCCATGAATGTTTCTGCGTACATGGGCCAAGTACGGTACGGTACCGGTAATTACTTCCATTCCCATGCACCTTTGTGATGAATGCAGTGGTTTATTACTCACAAGATTCGAACACGCAAACACACTTAGAAGCGCCTAGCAAATCCAGGGTCCTGCAGTCTCATAACCCTAAATATTCTCAAATATCTTATCTTAAAGCATTTGTATACTTTACTATTATTTACAAACAACCACCAGGGCGAATGTAAAACAATATCATAACTCGAACCATCCTGTTGCAAGAGAAGTCTGCGACTAGAAATATGTATACCATAACGATACGAGGTACGGTACGTAGTCCGGTTTGAGTGCAGAAATTGGTTTATCTGGAGGTACAATTATGTCACGCGTAAAATTTAAAAAAAAATGAAAAAATAAAATGAAAAAGCGAAAATAAAAAAATAGTTGTGAAAAAACATAAAAATAATTGAAAAAAAAATTTAAAATAAAAACCAAATTAAAAATAAAACAAAAAGATAGGATAAAAAGAAAATAAAAAGGTTGACAACGATGGTCCGCCTCGTGGCCCATCGTTGTCACGCGTTTTTATTTTTAGAAAATTTGTCAGGCTTAAACCTACACGCACATATGTGTTTCCTGGGTTTCTAACTCACTACTGACTTTTATTAGCAATATCCAATAAATTCAACATGAAAATGTTCTATAAATTCTCCATGCTACAAGTTCAACCACAAGCAATATATTTATAATAATGATAAGAGAATATAGAATTGAATATGAAAATTTGTTTTTACGTGTAGAAGGTAATTTAATTGGAAAATGCTGCTTAACTGCTCAGTTGTCTGGACACTCGTGCGATGCCGGTACGGTACCGTCTGACCGTACCGGTACCCATGCAATCACTCATGAAAGAATGGGAGATACGGATAGTCTCGTAGAATATAGACTACTGAAACACTCTCTGCGCCTGCCCCATACCGTACAGCCGTAACGTACCGATCCAGGCAAATGATGAATCGCCCGTGCTCAACCATTTATTTCAATCCATACATCGACTCAATATATACTACTAGGATCGAGGTATGGATTGAAATAAATGGTTGAGCACGGGCGATTTATCATTTGTCTGGATCGGTACGTTACGGCTGTACGGTATGGGGCAGGCGGTTTCAGTAGTCTATATTCTACGAGACTATCCGTATCTCCCATTCCTTCATGAGTGATTGCATGGCTACCGGTACGGTCAGACGCAAAGCGACTATAACCGACTACCGGTATTTGGTAAGACGGTACCGGAACGCGAGTGTCCAGACAACTGAGTAGTTAACCAGCATTCTCAAATTAAACTACCTTCTACACGTAAAAACAAATTTTCCGAATTTTCGTATTCAATTCTATATTCCCTTATCATTATCATGAATATATTACTTCTTGTTGAACTTGTAGCATGGAGAATTTATAGAACATTTTCATATTGAATATTGCTCGAGAAAATCAGTAGTGAGTCGGAAACCCAGGGAACACATTTGTGCGCGTAGGATTATGCCTGACAACGTTGGTCCCAAGCAGAAGCAAATTTTCTAAAAATAAAAACGCGTGACAACGATGGGACACGAGGCGGACCATCGATGTCAACCTTTTTATTTTCTTTCTATTCAATTTTTTTTTTTTTTTAAATTTTTTTTTTTTTTTCGTTTTTTTTTTTAATTTTTTTTTTTTTTAATTTTATTTATTTTTTCAATTATTTTTATGTTTTTTCACAACTATTTTTTTATTTTCGGTTTTTTATTTTCAATTTTACGCGTGACAACGATGGGCCACCATATACCATTCACATAAAACAAAATTAGAAATGCCACATCCTTGATCTTATCATATAAACTACAATTTTCAGATTCTTGATTCAGTTCTTGGACATATTTTCAATTAATTCTGCTATCTTTATTTTAATATCTGGTAACAGTAAAGCAAATAATTTACAGCATTTAATCTCCGAGCAAGAATAAAAATTCTACTGTTTCATAGAACCAAGATTATTCGAATTTCATCTCCCAAGTCACAACGCCAGGATGGCCAGTAAAACCACTTGACAAATAATAGCCTGAAATGGTCATATATTAGAAAATGGATTAACATATTTATCCAGGTCGATAGGAAAGCCAATATGAAGGCCTAATCATATGGCCAATCTCTTGTCCGGTTACCAGTCCATGTTGGTTATGGGATTACAGTTGTTAGCCAGTTATTTGTTTTCGGAAGAATGGACTTGAATTCAAAGAATTTTAAATAATTGTCTAGATTTTTGGATACTATCAATCAAATAACTATTTCAAATAGAAATCTTCATTATGGAACAACTAAGTGGACATTGAATGGAAAATTAAATTGGCCAAAATTTACCTTTAGTCGATTTGGAGATGAAAAATTCATAAGTCATAAGAAGCAAATAATAAAAAATTGGTCAAGTCTATTACTAAAAAAAGTATTTTCGCATAAACACACACTAATCAAAGAAACTGATTTGGAACATAGTGCTCGGGTTATAAACTTCAGGCAAATGCTTGGGGCAGCCTCGAAAGTCTGATTCATGGTAACATTCAAGCTACACATCTAAGATTCTCTTGCACCATAGAAATATCAACATACAAAGAACCAGGTTCAAGTAATAAAAAAAGTTATAAATTTAAACAAGCACATTCGCATAAGTTCCAGGTTAGATGAAATGTGAGAATGAACGATACATGAAAAAATGAATAGAAATTAACGTAATGAATGGAAGAAGTAATACAACATGACGTCCTAAAAAATGCATTTAAATTACAGCGTAAGCATTATTGAAGCATATGTTTAGATAAAAAAGCTCTATAAAGATAAAAAATGCATAACAGCTTTATAAAAGCTCAGAATGTTGGTAGAAATACTATCTCATAGTATAAAGAAAATTGTATTGAACGTTAAAAATGAAAAGCAGTGGAACTGAGGAATATTAAGATTCACTTTAAGTTATTTATAAGAACGTAGCATGTGTACAAAAAAGTAAATGCTCACTTATAAGCATAGAGAAAATGACAAACAGACAAAATTGTTAAAGTCACAGACTTAAAGTTAGCAACCGTAAAACCACTTCAATTTAGTTGGATTGTTAATATTGTGTATTTGCTTTTCATAAAAATCTTTATTTCTATAAACTGGTAGGTGGCATTATGATGGCTACTTTCATGTAGCAAATGATTTATCAACATTACAGCATTTTGCAAAACAGCACTTTCATTGAGAAACAAGAAGATTGTGGATGAATAAACAAGTTGGCTTAGCCAAATCATAACTAAAAAATTGTTATACAAAGTAAAAAATAACCAATCAAAGTGAAAATGTGAAAGTACAGCCACCCATTTATTGTAGTTCATGAAGTACACAATGTATATATGTGAAAATTAGGACAATCAGTCACAGATTCAGAAGCCAATGGTCATAAATCAGTAAAAAAGATAGGACTGTTCATTTCTTCACATTGGTAAAATTTTTATTAAAGGCATATTATTATTTTCATTAAAATGATTTCAAAATTTCTGAAGATTATCAAAGAAAAATCTATAGATGGCATAATCACAGCCATTAAATCGTATTTGTTACAACATGTCATAGTTTGGTAATAGTTTCATACTAAACTCATTACCGTAATTATTACCATAGTAATTAGACTAAAGACAATTTTAGCAATGCCAAAAAAAAATTATCAAACTTAAAGTTATCATGAATGAAAAACTATAGTTGTACTTGTATATGTATAGTTGTAATTCAAAATAAGAGTGTTGAGAAGATTGAAATCCAACAAGCTCAATAGAATTACTATCGGTTTGGGACTAACAGTCCTGAATCCTATTGAATATTATGTTTAATATTAAGTTTAATAATGTTGCAATCGTAGTTAGCACAACCCCTCGAAATCTGTATCAGAGGATTTTACAAAGTACCTCGCCATTGTATCAGAATAATATTCATCCTCTTTCGACTTGTTTTCAAAATACTTCTTTGCTTTATAGTAAACGTAGAGAAAAAAGAATGGAAATCTGTCAAAAAAGAATTTCCAGAATTCCTCGATTGTCATGTCAAATGAGCCTTCTCCTTTGTCTTCGTGATCATGGGTATGTCTATTACGAATAAATCTGAGAAGTTCAGTCACAGTATTTCCGAACCGTTTTGCTTTTCTCTTCATAGCATCCTTTTCAACTACAACGGGTACCTTTTTTTCTGTGTATCTGCTTTGGATTTCGTTCAGTTCATCGCCAGTGAACGATATGTCTTTTTCCTCCCATTTCTTTAAGTCTGATTTCACTTTATCTGCATACATGTCATCTGATTGAACGTCATCTAAAAATAAATGGGGGGCATCATTTCCATTCTTGCCGTCACAATTTTTCCTTTCATTTATTTTTTTCAAAAGTTCCATTCCTTTCATGACATCTCCATAGAACTCTAGTCTACGCTGATCAGACCAGAAGAAAGGATGTCCAAGAACTTCGATCATTGTAGGGCGAGTTTTAGGATCTATTTGTAGCATACTTGTAATCAAATCAATGGCAATGTTGCTGTCTGGGGTTTCATAAAGTGTTTGTAACGACATTCCAGTGTCATCTTCAATGTATGTTTGCCAACAATGAGGCTTTTTGCCATAAGGATGCTGTCCATTCGTGAGTATGTAATACATAACTAAACCTGCTGAAAAAACATCAGCATAAATTGACGTAACTCCTTTACAGCCAGATGTTTCTGGAGCTCTCCAGCCATCAGTACCCGCATCAGACCTGCTTTTATGTGTGTTCGTTTTACCAGGAGCAAGACGTTTGCTAAGCCCAAAATCAGATATCACAACTATGCCATCTTTGTACAAGACATTTTGTGGCTTAAGGTCACGATGTAGAATGCGGTGTCCATGTATATGACTCAACCCTGCTGCCATTCCCTTTACATCAAACTTTCGTTTTGCATAACTGACTTTATTTTTCATTTTTTCGAAAACAGTCTCAGATTCACACTCTTCCATAACTATGTAGATACATTCTTTACGTTCATAGGAAATATTTCCTGATCCGTAATATTTAACAACATTTGGGTGTCTGCTTGCAAGTCTCATGTGGTCCACTTCCCTCTCATACATCGCTATGTCATCCAGTATTTGAGATTTTTTTACTATTTTGACTACAACTCTTTCATCTTCTTCCATAGCAGCCACTCGACGAGCTCTAAATACTTTTGACTCTTCTCGGATTTGGTCATAACGATTAAAATATATCTTTCCATTTTCAAGCTTAATCATATCCTTTGAGTCTGAATTAAAAATAAAAATCTTGATGAATGTATATGCTGCTGGTGAATGTTATAAAAAGAAATATTTCCAAGTGAAATTTTGGAGAAATTCATACTCCGGCAGCCAAGTTGGTTTTGGGGCTCAACCTTGTTTACAGACATTAAGTTTTCTTTATTCGTGAATATTCATCTTGGGGTTAAAAGTCATTCCTATGTGGGTGTTTGCACCCTTAAGCATTTTTTACTGTGTGAAATACATAATAGCGTTCTCTGTCAAATCAAATGCAAAATTCATACATAATGAAACGGAAATAAAGTGTACTAGGCAACTGCATGGGTAAAATTGGGATCAAAATTGATTAGGCAATCACTAAGAACCCAAAGTTGTATTTACTGAGTTTGGAGAGCCATGTGACAAAATTGCCACCACCACAAATCCTAGGTTACTTCTATCCATTATACCAGGACCCGCGACACCTCACTGAAATATAGTAACAAAACAACTGTCTCGACGATTATATTCTTTACGTAACAGAATTTACTTTGAGACACGTGTAGACTACATGATGTTATATTCTAACATGTATATAATACTCGTTGAATAAGCCTATAATTTTATATGAATTAGACAAATGGCAACAAAACGTGGAAAAGTTGACGCCGAGTCCTAATGGTGTAATGGCGCAGAAAATATTCAAATGATCAGTCTTCGCGCGCTGCTTGAAATTTAACGTAGGATCGGTGTAAAAAATGTGATTCATTGGCCTTCCATTCGGTTTTTAACTGTTTAAAAATATGTGCGGCCCGCCAATGACTTATAACCTTCAATTTTGGCCCGCGAGCGGTTGCCGACCCCTGCATTATACGATAATTGCCTTGTTCGTTACCCCTAAATCGCATTGGGGTCGAAAGTCAACATCGTGAACCGAAGGCTATATGATAACTCGATGCCCCATGCACCAGCAATTCCATCAAACTGAAAGGACATCCTGGCCATTTTCCGATCTCTAAACCTATCACCGGAGCAATGGGAGGATGCAAAGCATAAAGATCTGTATTCGAGACTTTAAAGCAGACACCACAACCAACTCCACGAAAATATTAACTGGGAGGAGGTTCATCTGCTCAGGAATCGGCCTAAATCTACGAACGCTGGAAGGATAATATCTTATCGTATAGTAAAGGACGGCTATATTATCTTCGGCGATCGGATGCAGGACGTGAGCCTTAGGTACGGCCCATCCGGGATCCTAAAATTTATGAACTGTAAATTCTGTAGATATTCATGCGACAATACAAAGCACATATTTCCGCATTGCAAGATCATCAATCTCTAGAGAACAAATATTCAATAATAGTTGCAGTGGGCCAAACGAGATAGCGGTTACAAAATGCTTCGTTCTACTCAAACAGGCAATAATACATAGAAAAATCACTCTAGATGTGGAAAACCGGTACATCGCTCCCACGGACAGAAATATCACAGATGCAGCCATAACCAGACATACAATTTCCCGGGATACAAAATATTTGGAAAGAAATACTTAACGGATATCTTCTGGCATAAAACCGAAGTGACAAGAATATCGACCATTTTTAGCCCAATTTATAACAACATAACCCTGCCCCCCATAATAGGGAGCATATTCGCAGATAATACGATCATTCACCCCCCAGCAGAAATGGTGAATCGGAAGCTTCACGGTGGATGTCAGTCTGTTGCTGTCGCTTCTCGGCCTCTTGGCTAAGATCAAGTGATTGTTAGCTGTTTAATTAAGTCTAGATTTGGGAGAAGCCCTTCCTGTCGCGTTTTTTCTTTAATGGCCTCATCATCAGCTTTATTGAGGAAAGTTTTTTTTTCTTATGACCAAGTAATATCGAGATTAGTAAGTCAGCGAAACACTTCGGATACTAAACTACCTGGAATATACTCCAAAATGGATTACTCCTCCGCCGCAGCAGCACAGCCATCGGAATTAACAAACTCACAAGCAAATACGCAACCACTTACAGTTTATTTGAAGACTAATCAGGACCTGGAATTCTCTTCTTTGATGGACATACTAAAGGAAAATGAAATAACTCAGAACTACTGCGACCAAATTAGAGGGTTATTTGAGAGCCGAAGAGGAACTTGGCTACTCTCTTTTGCCGAAAAAGCTGGGAAAAGCTGCCGGGACGATTTCCTTGTGGCTACCGGTGGATCGATTAAATCAGAGGGAACATCAATAGAAGTTACGTTGCCTAACAAGCCACCCGTGCGTATTTCCATCAGGGGAATCTTCTACGAAACGACCTTCTCTAAGGCCGCAGCAATCGTAAACAATCTTGGGTGTGGTAAAATCCAGAGTGCCGTCAGAAACTACTACAGGGGCAGTGCAATATACAATGGATATACATCCTTCCTGATGAATGATTTTAAAAAGGAAAGATTGCCAGCTTTTGTCACCATCGACGGTAGAATTTGTAAAACCTTCCTCCCAAGGGAGATGTACATACCGAGCCCGTTTGCAGACACTGCAAAAAACCTGGCCACATTCAAAGGAATTGCGATCAGCGAAAAATAGAATATCCTACACTCCAGCGCAACCCTAGTAATGCATGGTCCGCCCCCAGAAGGAGAGAACAACCCCCTACTGTTCAAAACATACCAAGAATTAACCCACAACCTACACAAGGCAATGGGCCTATACAAGACGCGACTCTAAACACACAGTCGCCCGAAATAGGCACAAACGTGGAAACCTCTCATATAGATTACGAGTTTCCGAACAACCATCGGGTAAACGAACGACAAATCATTGAATCGGAAAATACAGATGACCAAAAACAAAACGTAGAACCAAAACAAAAAAAAGTATGACACAATTGGAAGAAAATCAAGAGCCCACACAATTAGACACTTCGGAATTCTCATCCTCGGCAGTAGACTCATCACCAAACCAATTAGGAGAAACATCGAATTGGTCAAAATGTGACAATGTATTAAGCCCAATTAGCAAGACACCATCGAAATGGCAAATGGCGTCCAACACCATCTGGACAGTCTCAAAATTTTCATTGAAAATGAAAAACCTAATGTCTTCAAAAAGCGCACAGATTAGACAAATTTACTTGTAGAACGTTGGGCGAATGACTTAGGGTATAATATCTTTTTTAACACCCTGGGAAAACATGACACACAATTTAGACAAGGAACGACAATACTAGTCAAAACTGAAAATACGATACCCTCCCCAGCATATACTATACATATACAATACCGGTGTGATAATGAAAATATTTAATGTATATAGCCCTGCCCAAGATGGACCCGTGAAAACAGAATTTTATAAACAGCTGGTGAATATTTTGACTCACTACTGCGTTTTCCATGACTTTCTAATAGTAGGCGATTTTAATCTTATCTTAGACCCAATAGAGTGTAGGATTACAAGAAATTTCAAACTTCCGCCTCCCAGTAAAAGTTTTCGAAATTTATTCAAACCAATAATATATCTGACCATTTCCGGAAGAAATACCCCAAAATACAAACCTTCACGTATATTGCCGGATTACAAGGACGCAGAATTGACAATATTTATAATTCGCCAAACATGGAACACATAATCTCGAATATAGGCTACGCAATAAACACTGTTTCCGACCATGTGCTCTGTCGGTCCATTAAATTGGAGCAACCAAAAAAGTCCGTTGGGGAAAAGGGACTTGGAGGAACAATTTATCGATATATGATGATAATACGTACATCCACATTATAAAGAATTCCTACGAATCTGCCCATACCGAGATGGAATGTTTCGACAAAATCCAAGACTGGTGGGATAACCTTAAGCGTAGAATTAGAAAAGATACAGTAGCGCATTCCATATCCGTCGCAAAAGTTAAAAACAACAAAAAAACTGAACTACGTAACATTTTGGACAAACTCATTAATGAAGGAAAAAAGGTAAATACATTAAGAATCGAAAACTTGAGACTACAACTAAAACATCTAAAGAATGAGCGAATTAAACTAGATGTATTAATGGCAAACATTAATGATTTGGAGCATGGCGAGAAGCCTACAAAAACCTTCTACGCAAGAATTAAACAACGAGCTAAAAAGACCACAATTGAAAGGCTAAAAACACAAAGCAATGATATTGTCAGCAATCAAGATGGAATTATTAATTTAAAACTTAAAGAAAACTGTTTAGACCAGCGACAAGATACCATCAATTGGGATGAGGTTCATCTTTTACAAAGAGATAATCGTTCCTATTATACAAACGCGGAACGAGTCTGCTCCTATCGAATTGCACGGGAGGGCTATTTTTTTGGGGATAGATTAAAAGGAACAACCCTTAGATTTGGACCAACTGGAATCTTAAAAATTATGAACTGCAAGTTCTGTAAAGTTGCGTCTGATAGCACCAACCACCTATTTTTCCAATGTAGTATAATAACGGCATATATTGCAGAAATTACCGAGATCCTAAACGGCCTTCTCAGCAATCCCATCACGGTGTCACATCACGGTGTCAAAGGAGCACATATACTATAACAGCTACAATGTTTTGCACAGAATACTGGTTACAAAATGTTTCGTCATCCTAAATACATTGTAATAAAACAGAAGGTCCAGCTAGACATAGGAAACAGGTATTTGGCCCCCACTGATAAAAATATAGTAACAGCGATAACACTAAAAATTGCAGAATTCCTTTTTACAATGGATAACAAATTCAAAGATATACTATTTCTCGGACTCGGGACAAATTGGAAAGAAATACTAACGGGCATTCCTCGACGTAACGTTTTAAATAATGATGGCTTTTCTCCAGCCACCACAAATGGTAGATCGGACACAATGGCAAAACCGCCTATTTTTAGCCTTGTTAATACCATCCAATATAAGCGGATGTGATGAATCGGGAGCCTCGCGGTGGAAGTCATGCTGCGTCCTGTACGGGGTATGTACGGAAGCCGGGTGGCGGAAGTAGTGCTGTGCCCCGTATGGCATAGGCGGAAGCCTTGGG